TCGTTTCACTTCTCCAACTTTCAAATTTCACCAACAAAACAAATAGTGCACCTTTAAGAGTGATAGGCTACACGTTAATTGGTGCAATACCATGTTCAAAGTTATGTGCACTGTGTTCATGATGGTCTTTTTTCTATAAAAGTGAAAGTTCAGACTACATTTGTAACATCTGCAGCTCTGTTTTTGCTCCTTAACTATTTTCATTTTAGTGAGCACTGCACTGTTCTCTTTGCCTGTTCCTTCTCTCTCAGTAATTTTCTAAGCTGTGGGATAAATAAATGTTTATCTTAAAGGGGACATATTATGAAAAATCCACTTTTACAGTGTTTTCAAACATATATTTGGGTAACCTGAGTGTCTACTGACCCACAAAATATGAAATAAATCCATCCAGTCTTGTGTTTGAAGTATGCATAAGTCTAACAACACCGAGAAATGTTCTCTGTTACAAATTTTTCTCAGTTTGTGATGTCACAAGCTGGATTCTGGTAAAAAAAAAACAAAAAAAACCCTCCCCTCCCCTGGTATCTCAACCCATGAACTCCACCCACAACCTAGAACAATACTTTGCACAGGTCTGTCATTTTTATTCACACTTCAGAGGACTGACGTCTACTGGGAAAACTCAGGGAGCTCATTGCATTTAAAGAAACACACACACCAAAACGAAGCGTTCTGAGAGAGCTGGTTTATACAGGGTCACAAACCTCCTCTGGTGCTTGATTCATGTTATATTTTGACCAAAACACAACACAGCTATTTATTTAGACGACATAGGTCTGTTTTAAAAAGGTGTATAATATGTTATCTTTAACTTTTATATTACAATGGGTTTTTATTAAAGAGTAGGCTATAAAACATGGGAAATGGTTTCAGTCCTTTAATGAAACGACAGTGTTTATGTTTACAGTTCCATGGATGAAAAAGCCTTCAGTACTTAACAAGCCTAAATGATATCAGCCCCCTCCTTTTTCATCCAAATCAATTAACTCTAGTATATTGAATCAATTACTTGACTGTAATGGTTCCTTGTTTTTAGCTGGCCGTTAAGAGATTTCGTCAGCTAAACTTTTTATTTTATTGTCATCACACACATTTTATATTCAAAAATAAAAATGACAATATTTTACATTTTTTTAAGTGATGTCAAAAAGGTTGTGTCCTCCAGTGATGTGAAAACTCTAAAAAATAATAACACTTACGATACAGAAATACTTGTTACAGTTGTTTAAAGTAGCTTGAAGTAGAAGTGGGGTACCTTGGAGGTGTATGACATAAATTCTAAGATGTTTCCCTCCATCAAGGTTTTCTTACCTTTCTCTACAATATTTAACATCTTAAGGGCAAACAGGTTAGTTATATGAAATAATAATACAAATAATAATAATAATAAATTCAATTAGAAGAAAAAGAGAAGAGGCAAGAGTCAAAGGAGAAAGAAAACAAAGAACACAAGACAAAAGACAGCTAAACTTAAGCTTGTTTCTCCACAAAGTGATTGTTCGTGCTCATTACTTCCTGGATGGTTTCAGACGTCTTTCTGTTGACCAGCACTGCTGAAGCATTAAGTTACAAAGCAGACTAAAAGTGGAGTTTCTACTTCAGCCCCATCCTACAAGTGTTAGCCTTTGTTCCTGTTACCACGTGGCTGCTTTACGACGAATTAAAATACGACAAATTAAAATACTATTTGCCTACATTGATCCAACCTGTGCGCGCTGCTCCAAGATGATGTTGTTTGTTCTGGGGGGACAAAGGGGATAGTAAACAAACTTTAACCTCTCAAAACCGAACATTGAAAAGCTTCTGACCAAGGAACTTTAACACTTAAAAGCCCGTCAACATGTACCGTCCCTTAAACATGCAAGTAGGCTGCGTTAATCTGGAAGAAAAGCCACTGAATCCCACAAAGATCACGTCTAAAAATAAAAAAAAAATAAAAAACACGCAGCTTCTGAAACTCGCCGCCTTCCTCCAGCACGTCCAGGCCCTTTGTGGTTAGATCAGAATCGCCTCTTTACTCAGGGTCCATTGTGAGTTCGGGATTAACCCAAGCTCATTCAGAACTAGTATATCTGATCAATTCATCATCTCTGACCACAACATGAAGCGTGGAGGCCCTGAAGGTGAATTCTCGCGAGCTGCTCATCGCCACGAAGGCTCGAGCGCACTTTTACTATCATCTCTGATCGGAGCAGAGCCAAACCCAGACCAGATCAAATAAGATCACTGTGTAGATTTAAATACAAATACTCACTCACACACAAACAAACAACGCATACACGACAAACATTCACTCAATCACGCAGTTACAAAACTCTGACACACACACACACACAGACGACACTTACACACCATTCATACTGTGAGGTGAAAGCGCTTCCGGGTCAGCTTTAAAGGCAAAAGCCGCATGGAATCATGGGACATTGAAAGCAGTGAATAGTTGTATGTCGACCTCTCCTGGACATTAAGGGTCAATACCTTTAAAAAAAAAACATTTTATTTAATGAAGAAAATAACAGTTTTACACTTAGGTATCTTTATACGAACAAGTAGAACATTTTGCTTATTATAGTACTCAACTATAAAAAAAAACTTGAAAGAAGTGGTCAAAACATGACAAACATGTATTTTGAGATATTATTTAACCTTCTCTTGTCTGCCCAGTTTATGTCATTGATAAAGAAAAAAAATAAACTTTATTGATCCCCGTGGGGGAAATTAGTGCACTGAGGGTTTCAACACAATTTGAAGGATCAAATCAAAAGAGGATCTCAGTTCAAACCTCGAAAGTCAAAACATGGGAAGGCTGTATTACCTTTATTGTAGTTCAGTTGTGTTAGATAAATTAAAACTGGAAAATTATGCAAAAAATATAGTTTAAATAAACAAAAAATGTAACAATAGTTATCTAACTCCATTCAAATCAATATGGTTATTCATTCTTGTCTTGCTGTACCCAGTTCTTTCATTTTCATTTTTAACTTAACTGTTTGAATATTTTATTTCAAAGATGTTGTAAATTAGAATCCAATATAAACACTATGAAACTTGCATTGGATGGCTGTTTTCTGATTGTCTATGTATATTTCATAAAAAATAAATGGGGTAATTCACTTACAGTTAACCTAATGAATTATTGTTATTTAAAAGCAGTAATCTTTCCCGGTTAAAACCTTAGAGTTATAACTGCACTATAAATATCTTGATCATTTTTAATAGTTTGTCAACATAACTTTGCTCTGATATAAAACATCTGTGTTTGATTCTCCAGAACAGATTTGGTCGATATAAAGCTCTCTATTAGTAAATGAACATATAAAAGGTATACATTATTAATATGTAATATTTTTGAGTTACAGGCTCATAAACGGTCCAAATTACTGTAAAGAAAAATAAATCAATTTTTACATGTGCTTTAAATCTAGATAAACCTTTATTGATCCTGGTAGGGGATATTTTTAGTGTTAACAGCAGCCAAGAATTTTGAAAAGAGAAAAAAAGAAAAAACAGCACATATACATTTACTTTAAAAACAAAAACACTTACAGACAAGACTTGCACATAAAAGAGAAAAACAGTTCGCACAGTGCACAAGAATACATAAGAATACATAGATAAATACAGAGTTAAACTTGCATCTGTGTAGGATGTTCTTAATTTGTTATGCAGTTTTGCTTTGGCTTGAAACAAACACCACACAGAGTGAAAGATGTAACTGCTTCCCACTATACTCTGCCTGAGAGCCGTTGTAATTGTGTCTCTCTGTATCAATGGGCTGGGTGGTAGAGGAGTCAAATGTTACTAGTGCCGTGCGAGGTTGGTTTTAAGCTGCATTTGTGTCTGCCGCAATTAACTAATCTAGGCTTCTTCTGTGTGGGGGTTGTTGTGGCGTAACAAGATTTCAGTGTCTACCACTAGTGACTGTGGCTGGTAAAGGGTTGAAGGATCCTTCATCAACAGCAACATGTTGGACTAGGATGCAGCTAAAGAAAAACAACAGCTAGACTATGTGAGGAGGTGTGATTCCTTTAACATGGACTAGAAGAGGAACACTGTGTCTGGGTAGAAACAGTGGACCTCCAACGTCCTGCCATGGAGGGGTCTGCTTCAAAAAAAGTGAGTCCTTGCAAATTGTTTTCTTACACCTTTCCTCCTGTCGGATGAAGGAGAGGTCAACGTCTGGTCTGGTGGCCATCTGTCACAGGTTTAATGACTTCAGTCAGGCTGCAGGTGTACATCAGTGAGTTCATAGTTGTTTATTTGGAACTTTCTTTTCCTTTTAGTCTTTATATATCCCCCTTAATACTATATATCATACTTCGGAGCAACCCTGAATAATTTGTACAAACTATACAGCTACAGCTAAACCAAAATGATATATTGCATATATTTTATATAGCGTTATTTTATGTTTACATATGTATATTATTCTATTGAAGTTCCCAGACAGTAGGAATACTATTGTGTACTTTGTTTACAATGGTTTATCCTATTTATTTACTGTAATGTACAAAAAAACAACAACACTAATTCCTTGTTATTGTAAACCTTCTTGTCACTCAACCTCAATTCTGCTTTTCATTCTGATCTTGAAATTTAGAAATATTTAAATAACTGGATCATAAACATGCAAAGCAACATTTTAGTCCATTATTTCACAAGGGCTTTTACGAATCCATTTTTTAACCATATTATTTTTGTATGTTAAATACACATTTGTATTAACTTAAAGCCCCATTGTTTTTTCACCTCATTTACTATTCATCTAATTCACAACACTAATGAAGTTGCATGCTGCATGTAAACATCTGACTTCCCTTGATTAAACAATTCGGAGCGTCTGTTCTGGAAAAGCAGTGGGGTGATTTTGTTGGCATCGATCCCAGCCCTGCAGGATCTGACTGGAACTATGGTTTCTGTCATGTCAGGTTATCTCCCAGCTGGACCTCTCTGCTGGGCCAATTGTTAGACAAGATTTGGAGGCTTATGGCGTAGACATGAACAGCAAAAGGCACATTCTCAAAGAAAGTTCAGTTCAGAGAGTTCAGAGCGACCCCCAAAGAGAGGAAAGTTCGATGTGTACAGTTAAAAACACATTTTAAAGTACCTGCAGGCTTGATTTTATTTGATGTAGAGATGAAGTTAGTTACAACTACATCTCCCAGCTGCTAGTTTCTCAAAGCGACCAATTCCTTCTTGTGTTATCTTTCAGTGTGGGTGTGTCAAATGTATCTGTCTGCTTCTGTGTTCTTCTGTTGGTAGGCAATGTCCGGCCAAAGACAATGACTGTCAGGACAAAAGTACATTACTGTTACACCTTTAATGCCCCAAGTAAACCCACCTCACCTGCTTAAGCAGAGCATTGTCCTTTTATCTCTTACATCATCTAATTATGACCTCAGTCCCATCAGGTGAAGATCAAATTAAATGAGATGCTTTGACAGTCAGGTGCAGCAGCATTAACTTCATTGTCTCAGCGAGTGCATGTGAAATAAATAACATCCCAAATGACTAACAAAAACATCTTCTTTTCTCTTGTTTCAAAATGTATAAACTGACAGAAAACAGGATTTGGACATCTCCGAAAAGGTATGTTTTCAGAAAAAAAGCAGAATTATAATGAAGATAGACCAAAAATTGAAAAGAAGCACACATAGTGTATAAAAAATGCAGATAAGAAATTTAATAAATATAACTTTTATTTAAATATAACCAATCACAATTGTTTAATATACTTGGTATATCTAAAACTTTCAATAAGAGATTTTTTGAATTTTCAAACACACACTTATCTGATAGAAAAGGTCATTCTCTGATAGAACCTATCTTTCATTACAAATCCAAACAGATCAGTTTCAGCATAATTCAGATTCACTGAATGACAGATTCACTCATTTTTTCCTCCAAAAAATGTTTGTATTTGTTTTCCAACCTTTGATTTATTTACTTATTTTTTTACATGAAATCAAACAATCACAACATAAAAACAGTCTTACAATGACGATGCTATTATGTGGCAGTAGTTTTTATTTTTTTTAAGAACTAGAATACCAGATGTGAGAAGTTTGAAGTTGAAGTCAACATATTGTGATTTGAGTTGTTTTCCGTTGGTCAGAGACCAGTGTCGGCCATGGGTTGCTTTTCCGTCAGTCCACAGCAGACTGCAGCGGTGATGAGGTCACTCACCCCAGGAAACTCAACGGTTCCTCTGTGGATCCACCAAGCTACCATAACCTGCACCGGGAGCTGCTGCTCAGCCACAAACGGTATACAGAAAACGCTGCTTATCTCTGATGTTACTGTAATGTCGTCACTTACTGAATCAGAGCAGGGCAGTGACTGAGTGTGACTTTGACTGACCAAGCAGGGGCCTACTCCTGGAGGAGAAACCGGAGCTGAAGCGAGTGTTGGAGCAGCGCAGACTGGACCTGCACAAAGAGGAAGAGATGGCCCGACAGAGGCCTTCAGATCTGGAGACAGAGCTTCGCAAGAGGCAGCAGAAATTACAAGAGGTCAGATGACCAAGACGAACATTCATTTCATAAAATGTTATTTTAGAATATAAACAAATTAGCTTAACACACAGGAGTCGTTTTAAAAGTTGCCTTGAGGGTTTCATTGTTAAATGGTTTAAGTGCGGGGCGCTGGTGGCTCAGTGGTTAGTGCACGCACCCCATGTATGAAGGCTATAGTCCTCAAAGCAGGCGGCCCAGGTTCAAATCCAGCCTGTGTCTCCTTTCCCGAATGTCATTACCTACTCTCTCTCCCTGATTTCCGCCCAAAAATAAATCTTAAAAAAAAAAAAAATGTTTTAAGTGTCTTATGCCAGTACTGAAATGTTTTAATAATAATCATCTAAATGGCAAAATAAAGACGATTCCTCCTTCTCCTTTAAAACCTTGACATGTATTTTTGTTCTTTGTTTTTCCAGTATGAGCAGGAAGAGATCAGGCGGCGGGAGAGCCAGCAAAAGATCCCAGAGTTTGTCCGTGTGAAGGACAACTTGAGGCGAACACAGACGTCCGAGCAGTGAGGCCCAAAGGCTCCCATCAGCCCCTGCAGTATCTCACCATAGTGGCCCTATCTGAAAGTTCACCATCTGCTGAGTCACACAAAAAACTGACCACAGAAGCACCAACTCAGGACACATCCCATAGTTTGTGATAAACTGCAATTTTAAATGTACTAAAAAGGAAACATGCAAACCACAAAACAAACCAAAAACCGCTTTGAAATATGAAAAATTAAGCTCTGTCACAGCGTCCGATGAAGGAATGGCAGACAATTTTATATTTATTTGTGTGGATCAATATTTGTGAGGGGAAAATCACTGCTGTTAAGGGAATGAATCTCTTTTTTAAAAGCTTTTGTATTCTTTTTTTTTTTTCAAATGAACTTCTCCATCCTCCTAAATAAAAGGAGCATAACATTATCTTGTTGTTTTATTAGTTAAGCCTCATCATTCCAATGCTTGACTTTCCATAAGATCAAAATGTGGTTGTTAACAGACACATTTCTCAACAGAACTGTTTTGTATCAATAGAATTCCCCCTCCCCAGGGTTACAAATTTTGTCTATCTGTTTGTGACATTTGGATTTTAGTGTGTCCATGTGCTGTGGAAATAAAGGCTTTTATGGTTTGCAGAGAAGTGTTGTTTTGTTTGACACAATTCAAAGCACCCGGGATTGATTTGCATGCTGCTCCTCTCCCTGAGGACTCTCACGCTTCATTCACATGGATATGTGACTTTGTTTAATTAGCTGATCTTTTCATTCCATCACGGGGACGAGAGGAGAAAGCACAGGCCATCTGGTGGAGACTTTTCAGGATATATAGGTGGAGAATACCCAAGGGCCTGGTTAAGGCACTGGAGACAATTTGGGATACGAGGGAAGCCACTGTCTGAAAGCAAATAAAAGTAGTGTGTTTGCTATTTCACATTACATCTAGAAGAGAGTGCTGGTGCATTTCATACAAATCCTATTGTATCCAAAGTATTTGTTTCAGTTGGTTGAGATGGAACAAACCACTGTTCGTTCTCTTCAACAGCAAATCATGTTCTCAATGCTCAATCATAAAACTAAAGCAGTAATGGCTATCACATTTATGTATTGGAGTAGCTTACAGACACATTGGACAGATAATGCTATATAATATGGTAGATGATATGGCTTTTTTTTAATCTCCTATGGGAATTCACAAGCTACCCAGAAGTGCATGAAGTGTTAAACTAATTTTGGACCTATAGGTTAAGTAACTGCAGGGATGTAGCTTCAAGGTATAAGTAAACATTACCCCAAAAATGTGTTCTACAAAGGGCTATTCTGCAAAACATGTTTTTTTTTTGTTATCAGAATCAGGGTTTTCATGCTGCATGTTTACTGAAGTACAATTTCTAATGCACAACTTTTTATTATCAGTCTAAAAAAAAGAAATACACTTTTATTCCATCACTGAGAGTGCAATTACAAAGTAGTAAAAATGTAATTTATTATAGTCTGAACTTTTGCTGTAATATTGGTGCAATTATACTGTTTCACTCTCACTTAGTATTTGTATGATCCCTTTAAATGTAATAAGGATTTATTTATTTTTTAAATCAAAAAAGAACAAGCATTATCCTCGGAGAAAGTAGGTAATAAAATGATCTTCCTTTGTATGCTAATCAGAAATCAAATCTACCTCTATTTCCAGAATACAATCAAGTTGAATGAACTCTCAGATTGTTGAGAGGAATAGCCAGAAAACAACATACTTTGCTCTTGTTTTCCTCATCATGGCGGAAAACAAGTGGTGAGTGTGGTCTTGTTCACCAGCACACACTTGCTCACCAGCTGTCCCTGGTTTTACCAAAACTTGTCTCACCCTCCGGCCATTCTTCTTTTGTGCTGCCTTTCAGATTAAAAGGTCCTCAGTGAGTCGCGTGCTGTGTCATTACACACAGCCTGTCTGGAGAGTCGGCAGCTCCGGACGAAACCATTTGATACGAATCAGGTGAGATCACTTGCAGCCGAAAAAAATGACTCTCCCGGCATATAAGGTATTTTATCACAAATAATATTATTTTTTTTAAAGTGTTGCTAAAAACAATAATCCACGAAGTACTTTTATGAAGAAACGTGTTGGGAGAAAACAATTGAATAAAGATGAATTACGCCCACCTTCACCAACAAGATGGATTTGCCTGAAACAGATGTCCCAAGCGTTACTCTCACATCTGACCAGAGAAAGTAAGGAAGAGGTTCTGCTGGATGTGATGATGCTGTAGAGGAGCAGAAAGCCCATTACAAGGTAGGTGGATAAGAGTTTAAGAGTTTGAGCACCTGATATGAGGAAGCACTTAACACTTGTACAGCCAGTATTGAGTTAGGACGAAGTGTATGAGATGAGTAATGATGTCCCTATTCTGTAAACTTTACAAAGCACTGTTACAGAGAAGATAGCTTGCCTAAATATGACATGATAGTTCTATGTGGATTATAAAATGAAGCTAACTACGAGCACAAGATTGGAAAATCGACTTCTCTACTTTACTACATATATTTCACAGCTGCAGATGATTGACAAAGATTAAATGTTCACAGGTAAAGATTCTTCATTTACTTTTAATTGCCTACTTTAAAGTACCCCTTGTTGTTCATACTTCTGTAGCCTACTTCTTCTATGAATTTCAACAGGACATGTCAGGGAATATCATATTGTATACTGTTACATTTTTTTACTTAGTAAAGTAATCGAATGATCTGAAAAATATCTATCCACTGTCATCCACTGCACTTACCTCTAAAGATGCTGTACATTAAAAAGTTGTACATTTTATTTGTAAGATATGAAAACATTGAATATAAAGCAGCTAGCAGTGTTGCGGAGTCTTTGCAGTTTAATCCCTTACACTGAATTGTACCTATATGAACAGGTTGCATCCTTAGGACTTATGTGAGTCAACAGGCTGGTTGTTGGTTTGTGCCAGCAGCAGCAGCAGCAGCAGAATCAACACAATCTCCTATAGGCCTCATGTTGACTGACTTACAGTGATACTGTGGTGCTAAAGACAACACCTCTGTGTTGTTATGCTCCTGGAGTCCACCAGTTCTTTTGTCATCAGTGGGGTACTTGTGGGTGAGAGCTGTAACCACATCCTGCCAGGGGGGCCACAAGCTGACTATCAGTGTCCATTCGGAGGCCTCAGAAATGATGACTCAGAGGGGCAAGGTGTTATGAACCCTAAGCAGCCCTTCAGCCTCTGGAGAACAATGGAGCGTCTCTTCTTGCCCTCTGCTGTTGTTGGGCTGTGACAAGGCTGGTGTGTCTGCCCAGCATATGGCCTCCAGTGACTGAGAGCAGGCTGATATGGTGCTTATTACCCCTGCATTGTTTCTCTGCTTGCAAACTATAAGACACCTGCAATACCAAGCAGTGTTGATCTGACACAGGGAAAAGGATGGCAAGGTTTGAGTCTTTTTACAGTATAAAGACTATTCAAACCTCAGCTTTTATGTAATCATAGCCTCTTGTCTGCATTTTGCTGCAGAGTTTCCATACTCAGCACTCCTTCTTAAGACAAAGATCTGACTCCAGTGAGTGACGTGCTTTGTAATACAACACTTTCTTCTTTCCTGCCGCTCCCCCACATTGATGCACTTTTCTTCAAGCAGCCCACACTGCGCTCAGAGTTGATTCATTTTGCTGAATGGCTTTTGGCTTTTCATCAGGCTCTGAAATAAGGCATGCTGTAAAGTCGTTTGGTTTCTTCCATAGTATCAGCATTCAGTGGAGAATCTTAATTACAGGGTTCGAACAGGCATAGGTCTGGTTTCAGGCATCCCTCGCTGTTTCCTCGGCGAGTCTGGTCCCTGTTGGTAATTCCAGGGCCGACCACAGTGGTAATGAGCGAGGCGGCGGTGGAGGCATTCCAGGAGATCGTGCTCCAAAGGCTCATGGGAAAGGGTGGCGGGGGAAGTCTGGGAGACAGTGAATCCACATCGTGATCTCTTGCCATAAACACTCACTTCCGCAGAAGTTAGAAGTGTCACAGGCTGGAGAGACGGAGAGGATGGGCGGGATGGCCAGCTCCCATCCCTGACACGCTCCAAGATACTAGTCACTGATCACATGCGGCGCAATTAAGATGTTATGACTACATCAGTCAAGATGGAGACAGTGCTATCAGCAGCTAAACCTTCAGGAAATGGATGGTCATTCCTGTTGTACTAGAGAAGAAATTATTGTTCTTGGCCCTCCCTAAAATTCAAATCTCAACACTCCAGATATTTAAGAAAGCTCTGACTAATCAGCATCAACATCTTGGCAATAAGCTACTTCACCACGCATCCACCCACTCACTCAGCATAGACCACCGACCACAGTCTCTTGTGAAAGTCTTCAGAGAGTTATGGGGTGTAAGTGGGTAAATCCCACATCACCCTGTCTGTCTCTGATTACCAGACTTGATTCCTGTTGACGTCTTTAGTGTAAGATCGCTTCAGCGTTGGAGTCATACATCTGTGAGTACAGCAGGACTTAACCTTACACAATAAAAAACTCAACTCTGCAACTTTTCCCCTCCTCTCACAGCAGCCTTGTCTCAATATTGGCCCAACAACATGTTGTCAGCAGATACTGTGCCCACAGCAGATTATTGGGGCTGGTTGGTGGATACAGGCCCTTTGTTGCAGTGTTGTTTTACTGACTCGGGCAGCCTGTGCCTGATTGTGCTACTGGCCGCTTAAAGCTGCGTCAGTGCACATGAGCTGCTGTGCTGAATGGGTCAGGCCTATGGGATTCACATTAATATCCTGTATGAGGAGGTTTTCATCTGCACAAATCTGTGTCTTCCTGGTCCCTGCAGGAAAAGGCCGGATACCAATCTGCAAACACAGATGCTGAGACAAGAATCGAGGATTCACATGAGCTTGACAACAGCAGCACGATCATTTATGTGTCGTATGCTTTTATCCACTCCTTTTCCCTTCATATCAGAGTAGCAGATTACTTCTTTGTTTTCTTGATATTAACACAGAGACTGCTTTGGGAGTCTTCAAAAGCATGAACTACACATTTGTATGTGTCACAAAAGCAAGGCTGGCTTATATATCCTTTAATCATGTCAGTGCTTGGTTGTTTCTTGTGAAAACCTTTTTTAGGGGAAGTCCTGAGTGGTGGCAAGCATGTGAGATGCAGAAAAAATGGATTGGCCTAAAAAAATAACTCACTCTTCCTCTGGGGCAATGTCATCCAAACATCCTTAAGTCTTCACTTAAACCTAAAATGTTACCCGCAATTTGTTGTCGTCATTGTTTTCCTCTGCTGGCCACGGTTCCTCTTCGCATCTCATTATTTGTTTATTGTCAGTCAGATGTTTGTGTTGTGTGCAAACAGTGGAGCGAGCAGGCCACAAACATGAATGGTTCTCGCTTGGTTGTGAAAGTGTGTCAGCGATACGGGCAGAGTCGCACAGAAGTCAGCAGGGCCCTTGTGATCTGATGTGGCGCGGACAAGCCCAGCATTGAGACATTCTTCCACTTCAAAGCCCCCCAGAGGCTTTTCTGAACACTGGTTGAATAGGAGCAGAGGGAGGGGCATGCAGGGGGAACAGGTGCAGTGCATGAGTGGGGTAATTCCCGCTGCCATCTGCTTTCTTTTTCTGGGCCTGGGCTCTTTAAACGCCCTCTGACACGCCTCGCGACAACACGCTCCCCTGGACAGCCACGCAGTGCCCCGTCACCATGGCACCGCGATTCGGATTAACCCCTGCACATGTGCCGAGTCAACCGTGGGGGTCTGCCGCTTTTGTGAGTGAGCATGGTGGGGGAGGAAGAGGTGGAGGAGAAGGAGGGGGAGATGGAAAGCTGCATTGATAAGTGTGTGAAAGGACACTCGCCAGTCATTCACTTTTGTTAAGCAGCAGGAGCGAGTATGAATGAAGCCATGTGGTAGGAAAACAACAAGAGAATCTGTAATCTTATAAGTGGTCTGAAGTGATCTACTTTTTACTAACCTGCTAAATCTGCTCATTTCAACAGGTATATCTATCAACTCAAGAGCATACAGTGAAGATGACGGCCATTGAGAGCAAAGAGGAGATCAGTGACACTGACAGTGGGATCATCTTACATTCTGGTAAGAACATTAATAAGTTATGCAAAATACAACATAGCTTAGGTCTGTATTCTCAATATTAAACACAATAATGCACCAAAAAAAAAAAACACTAAGCAAAAGAAAATGTTGCATTCCACAGTCATTATATAAACATTCAGGAGTTACAGAGTTAAGAGCGGTGTTTATTTGGATTCACATATTATCCCAAAGAGCATTTGATTCAAAGTAAATGCAAGAAAAAAAGAACGTGCACAGTTTAAACAAGATACACTGACATTCTCTAGTCATGACTGAGGCTCAGTGTTTAGGATTGTCAGACAGTTTCACACCACGAGGCAGGGAAAAACACAATGCATTAAACAGCTCCATTCATCCATTACCTAGAAGTACTTATCTTAGCATAACCGCCGTAGCGAGAACAGAAACTAAAGTTTACCAAATTCTCTAAAGGCACCATCTGTGAGAAAACTAAAGCTGTAGCTATTGCAGCTGCTAAATAGTTCTACAAGTCATGTATGTGTTTTAAAAATGTGACGCTAGGTGGGATACAAAGATCCTTCCTGTCTATGGCATAGTTAAACAGCCCTGTAATAGTGGATGGTATTTTTATGACCGTGGCTGATCCAGACCCTGATTAGTAAAGCCTGACCTGATAGACGATGCGTTCACTGCAGGTCCTGACAGTCCCATATCCCCGGTAAAGGACCTGACCACCAACACCAGAGCCCTGAAGCTCAAGCACCAGTCTCTGGAGGAGCGTCTGGAGCTCTGCCTGCTGGAGCTCAGGAAGCTCTGCATCAGGGAGGCCGTAAGTTACTCATACATGAAAACACGTTACACACACACACACACAAGATGACTTTTTTGTGTGCTTTGATTAGTTTAAAGATAACTTTATTGTGTTTTTTTGTGTCACAACTTTTCCCTGTTTTGCAATAAACAAGGAATTATTTTGAATTCACAGGAGTTAACGGGTAAACTGCCCTCAGACTATCCTCTGATGCCCGATGAGAAGCCACCACGGGTCAGAAGGAGGATTGGAGCTTCATTCAAGCTGGATGAAGGTCTGATCCATTTGAATAATCAGGTATGAGCCAACATTACTAACAAAACAAAACAGTAAAAAAAAATGGAGAGTAAAGTTTATCAGCTGATACTAAATGTCATAATGTGTCTTCATAATAGGATTCAGAGTTGCAAGCGTTGGAAACTGACTTGGCTCTTCAGCGGCAGATTTATGAGGCAGTCCGCAAACTGTCTGTGGAGGAGAAACTCAGCAAACCACAGAAGAAGAGCCGGCTGCAGCAGTGCAAGAGGGAAGAGAGGAAAGTGAAAGACCTGCAGGAGGCCGTGTTCCAGCACAGGATCAAGAGCGAGTGCAACTCCCCCTGCATCCCCATCTCAAGAAGCCAAAACAGAGGTTAGTCACATTGCTGACCCCTTCAGGTCACACTGTGAACTGCATCCATGGACACAAAATTAGTTTGATGGAATCTTAAAAAAAAATGTTTCATTTCTGTAGCAGATCTGAGCATGTCTGATGACAGTTCCCTGTCTGATGTTGTGGCCCTGGATGACGGTGAGGAAGGATTACATTTATTCATGCAAATTTAAAAAGTATGAGCAATCAGAGGTGTGTGATTCTCAAAATGAATCACTCACCAATCTGAAATAACAGTCCTGCCCCATACTCAATGACGTTCTCCCTGATCATACACAGACGTGGACTCGCCCACTCCTCCCTCTCATTCAGAGTCCTGCACTTCCTTGTCAGACGCCCCGCATCTGTCAGCCAAGACCCTTCAATCATCCCAGCAGTCATCAAGCCAGCTCAGTGTGGAGCATGAGCCCTCCCCCATCCAGAACTCTCCATGGAAAGAATCCAGTCTGGATCAGCCCTACCAGAAGGTCAATAAACCTCAATCTGCTAGCAGCAGCAGGTCCAGGTAAGAGTCTCAAGTGTATATGACAGCACATTGAATACGAAACTGTGTGGAATAAGTGTATGGCTGTGTGTGTAAGGTTGTTTTACCTTACAGAAAAGGTTGAAACAATAAAAATACTTCCAGCAATGACAGAAATGTATTTATTTAACTTTTTCTTCTTCATGTTTTTATCGTGTGCAGCAGTCCAGCAGGGACGCAAGTGTCTGCAGAGAGCTGTAGGATTCCTCTCTCTCAGTTCGTCAGGAACTCTGCCCTGCGTCAAAACAACTCCACCAGTGCCCCCTCCACCCCGGAGCTGCACATACGCAGACAGTACACCCAGTCCTTCAGGTACACAGAAAAGTCTGATTTGTTTGTACACTCGTGCAAAAAGAGAATAAAAACCACATTTGGTATAATTATTAATTTTCACATTTGTCTTCTCAGACTTCCTAAAAGTAAGCCACCAGGTGATAAGGAGGGCCTCAGCACAGAGAACAATCGCGGGCGAGCTAGGCTGCCCCAGCGGCGCTGCATAGCCAACTTCATGGTGCGTTCTCCAGAGTACTCTCCTCTGCAGCCCTACCAGTCCAGCTCCGAGGACAGCAGCTCCGAGCACTCTTCCTCCTCCCACATCAGCTCTCCTGGCAGGGACAGACCCACTGAGATCCCAAAGCTCTGCCCTCCACCTTATGGGTTCCACTTTGGAGCACAAAAGAAAGGGCTTTCCAGCTTCTCCAGCTCACAGAAGAATAACAACCAGTCTCAGTTCAGCCCTGGTAACGTCAGAGCCGCGGCAGAGGATGGCCCACTCTCCCCTCAAGACCTGGACATGGGGAAGGTCTTTCTGTCCTCACCCCCTGTGGCACATAGCCCGCTTTCAAGACAGTGGCAAGAGGGAGCATCGTCCCCAAGGAGAATCCTTAAGCCACCTCCACCTTACACTAGACTGGTGCGAACGCCCTCGCTGAACGAGTACCCGAACCACGCCATCAGGCTGATGCCCAGGGAGATCGTGTCGGAGGAGCTGAAGTCCTGGCATCAGAGGAATCAGTTGCAGAAGTTATGGCCAAGCTGCATGGATCAGCTGAGTGTCACGAGCCCCACCTCACCTCACCTTCCTCCATTTAACCAGGTTGGTACCCATAACCAATCAGCTAACACAGTTTGATATGGTTCAAGAAGATTGATTAGACCGCTGTAGTTTAATAACTTAAGACTTATTAATGCAACAAATTACTATTACTCTTTTACATCAGATTAGTCTGTTGATTACATTTTGGATTACAATGTATACATCCCATCACATTGTTGAAATAAAAGTATAGTTTTAAATTATTTTAAGAATCAGAGGGCTTTACATCAGCGTGCTATACGGAATTTTAATCCTGTTTTACTCCAAATAAGGAAATGGGTTTGACACAAAACTCATTTATACTCAAAGTAGGCAAGGAGAAAATGGACTGTAGGTCTACTTTTCGCTCTATTTCTGGACCATTAGCTCAGTATATTAGACGAAAAATGCTAATAATTGAACAACGTCAGGGTACTGGATCAATATTAGCAAAACACAAATATTGTCCTGAAACTGTAGACCACTGAGAGAAATTGAGAGCGGATGGTGACATAGTGGTTAGTGCACTTGCCCCATGAGCGGAGGCCATGGTCCTCTAGGCGGGCGCCCTGGGTTTGAGTCCAACCTGTGGCTCCTTTCCTGCATGTCTTTCCCTGCACTCTCTCTCCCTGATTTCTGTCTCTATCAACTGTCCTGTCTCTCCAATAAGGCCTAAAACATAGACATGCCTAAAGTTTTAGAAAAACCTAAAGGTTTGGCCAAACTATCCGAATGCTTTTATTTACCTATACATTAAACAAATAAGGAAGATATTGTAAGATGGCATTTCTTTCCTTTCTTTAGTCTCAGCTCATTAAATCCATTAAAACAAGTATATTTATTTCAGGCCTTACCCATAGAGGTCCACCAAAACCAATGTAATGAACAGAATATGAATTAGGTTTATATGGAAAGGTAGAAGGCCATTGAAAAATGGCTGAAATTATGAATTTAATATTAATATAGTTTGCAGGTTAATGTTAACTTAAAAACAAGTTTGGGGGTTAAAAAATAAAGTAAAATCGACAAATCCCTGCAGCTCTGAATGAATGCGTAAGTTGATGACTTATTTAATTACTTTTTTCCCACAGGGTTCGGGTAACATGATACTCCAGAGAGCTGCAGACGGTACTCCAGTCCAGTGGTTCATCGCAGAGGATGCTGAAATCGTGAGCCAGGTGTAGCTTAGACAACTACTGTTGTGCAGTACATTCAGTAGGAAGCGTGTGATTCCTTTCTATTTATCGCTGTATTTATTCTTAAGGCTTCGGACTCTCTGTGAGATCTTTAGTCGACATGATGTAGAGAACGTGGACCTATGGGCACTCTGATGAGCCCATTCCTCTCTCGTCTTTTAATTTAAAACTTAATGTAAGGTGTTATGCCAGTTTAATTTATTGTTTTGATTTGTTTTGAATAGATGCTTCTGAGGTGAATTTACCCTCATACTATTTCATAAACAAGTGGATCAAAAGATTAAAAACAAACTTGCTGTGGTTCTCTCTGTGGCTGAACACATTTTGCACAAACTAATCCCCCTACAGAAGCTTCAAATATGTTCCTCTTTTCTCATATGATTTTCAGTATTTAACTATATTTATCTGTTTATGACACTTTTCTTCTGCAGGATAGAGACTTATTACTAAAATTTAACAACAACATCTAAAATGCAGTGCTCTTTGAATATATAGTTGAAAACTAACACCTGTCTAGCCTTGACTTTTAAGCTGATTCTTGATGTTACTATCAACTTGTAATAATCATTCACTGATGCCTGTAATGTTGGTTGATGATTGTTTTTAATGCAGTGTGGAGTTAGGATCCTAACCAAGAGATTGTATCAGTTTTGATATGTTTTGTATATTTATAATTAAAAAATACAACTGAAAGTCAAACCTGTGTGGCATTGTTCTCTAGAAAGAGTGGAATTATTTCCTGAGATTTAAAATAGAACCAAAATGTGTTGTATTTAAGTACTTAGCTTACCAGTGTGAGGAAGGTAAATCAGCTGGTCTACACACTGGATGTAAACAGTACAGTCACAACCATCATAGAGCTTCCAACAACAAATAAGTCAGTGTTATTACACAGAAAAGCACAGACAGGTACATGAAGAGGAGCGCCCAGCGACAGCGATACACCCAGTGAACCAGAGGACGTTGTCTCCACAGAGAGCCGTACCTGAGGAGAGCAGACGGTCAGTCAGTAAACCAAAGAAGAAATCACCAGTCATCGAGAGGTTTTGAACACACAGGTTGACTTACATGCCACCAGACAGTTGTCTGTAAATGTTCACACTCTTTTTATCCTTCTCTACTTTTTTCTTTGATAACGCAGCTTTGCTCTTGTGTCTCTGCCGCAAAGACTCCAGAGGGCAACTATAACGACAACACATATACACACAATTACTTTTGTTAGTAAGTGGTACATGGATTTGAGCCTGTAAAGCACTTTTCTAGTCTAATGACTACTCAAAACACTCAGGCAGGTATTAGAATCCTATATATCAGAATGATTCTATGTAAAAAGTGAAACATTTCATTGAACATTTTAAGTAAGTTATACAGCTGATTTGCACTGACCCAGTTTCCATCCATCTGTCTATTATCTATACTGTCTTTCCTGTTCAGGGTCGCGGGGGCTGGAGTTGATCCCAGCTGTCATTGGGCAAGAGGCGAGGTACAACCTGGACCGCCATTCAATCACAGGGCTGATATTCACACCTACAGGCAATTTAAAGTCACCAACTGACCTAACGAGCATGCCTTTAGACTGCGGCATGTTTTAAGCCCCAGGTAGGAGTCCGCCTGCTTCACCTCCACCAGCAAAGGCCGGGTCAGCTCAGTCAGATAACCCAGAGTACTTCTCCATGTCTGCTCCTGGCCTTACTGGATGTTTTTTGTTTTTTTACTTTAAAGACTTCCACAGGTAATTGCAGATCAACGGTTGAGTGAAACAGTAAAAAAGGTTGATATGTTTGGACTGTGGGAGGAAACCAGAGTACCCAGATAGAACCCACACATGCTCAGGTAGAACATGCAAGCTCCACAAAGAGAGGCCCTTTCCAACAGGGATTCAAACCAGGAGCTTCCTTGCTTTGAGGCAACAGTGCTAACCACTCTACGACTGTGCAGTCCTGATCCACTTTCACTACATGAAGAGTGTCAGTGCTACCTATTACATTAACAATGCTTCATAATTAATGTTCACACCTGTGTTTTTGTTGCTTGGACAAGCTAAAGGCTCCATTGTTATTTCTATGTCAGGCTCAAACACTGCAAACATGTAATGTGAGAAACATGCTATGTTTCCTGTGTCCTCTATGTTTGTGTGGTATCTCTGCTATTTTTGTATACACAGAGATTAAAAGCCGTACTTTTTGTTTTCGTTCTTGCTGGTGGCCGACTGGTTTGAAGGGAGGCACTCAGAGTTGGGTGTGGGTGAGGGTTGAGGAGGGAGTTGAACAGCTGAAGCTTCTGGCGGAGTTTCATCTGGATCCTGAGGCCTAAAAGAACAGATTTGAAATGTTTCATATGGCCCAGGATACATTTTTAAACAATATTTCTCAGAATGTTGACCTGTCTTCCACTGAGTTGCTGTCATCCTTGGTTGTGGGAAAGCAGTTGGACTCTGACGTCGGAGATGGAGTCCGACATGTGGGGGAAGACTTGGTGCTGGGGGAGAAGCCGTCATGAGAGGCCTGCTTCTTCAAGTCTTGCTTTATCTTCTCCTGTAGAGACTCTTGTTTTGGTTTCTGGATGATAAAATGTCTTAAGAAAGTGGAAGAGAGCGTGAAAGAAACCTCCTTACCTGGAATTGGATGGGAATTAGAGATACACTGACCCTTCGACGACCGCTGATCTGAAGGAGGAAAAAAGAAAAGGACACGAGTGAACAGCAGATTGAAGTGATAAAAAGGTAGCTGTTCCTAGATTTTGATAATAAGCCAGCTGTGTGCATACCTGCAGAAAGCTTTTCTTTCTGGTGTCACATTCCTCCGGGTCTACAACAAGACATCCGGTGGTCAGTCAAATACAATAACTAACAAGATGAAAGTGTCAAGATGAACAAGTAAACTTGTCAGAGACCTGGTGATGGTCTGAGATCTATGCTGTTTCTGCAGGAATTCTGCTGCTGGATCGTCTTCTTGGCTTCCTCCAGCTCGGCCACATTTCTGTCATGTTGTCTCCTCAGATTCTCCACGTGAGCCACCATGAGCTCGACAGCCCGACTCACACGAGCCTCCTACAGACAATTATCGGAAAAGAAGCACGCTGAGTGTATGCCATTAAAGACACTCTAACCCGTTATTAATGGCTTTAAATTAGATAATCCAAATGTGACTCAGATGAAGATTAAAGACTCTCAAATGCATTGACTGAAGGTCATTTGGAGTTCCTGGGTTGCTAGTAACGCTCTCAATGTACGTGAATCAGTTTGTAGAGTGAGTGTTCATCTCGACAAACTATAAACCACTTAATTTAAATTGTATGAACACAGCACTGTGCATACAATTGTTATAGCAGGTGACATTGTGTGTTTCTTATTTTAGGCTAACTGTCAGGAGATAAAGCCTCAAACTGATTGTGATCTTGGACTAGAAGAAGGCTGAAGGGCATCAGGGTTTAAAAAGATAACTGTAAAAGTCCCCCCTTAAAGAGTTTCCTCAAGCACTTTGTTATAAAACTTGTGCTATAAAAGAAAGACATTTGTGTTACTTGTAGCATCTTAACATATTTCATGCTTTCTTTCCTTTGGTTTTAGGTTAGTGGGATTCTGTTGTAAATGGGACATCACATTTTATCCAGATAAAGGTTAAGTGAGCTTCAAATCAAACTGAAGGTCTAAAGGAGACTCTATGTACCTGGTGCACAGCCCCAAGCACCTCTGCCGTGTTGGAGATCCGCTCCACAGTCCCACCGAGGATGTCCAGAGACAGCTCCAGCCTCTGCAGGATATTACTGCGTTTACTGTCCAGACACAGGCCCTTTAACATCTGAGGACACACACACACACACACACACACACAGACATGAGAACCTGCTCTCTGCTGCTGGTATAAATGCTCATTTCAGATCATCTGGCTCCTACTACACCTCCAGAGTCTCCCTGCCTCTGGTCAGCTCCAGCTGCACGTTCTCCTCTGCCAGGTTGCGGGCGTGCTCCTCCGCCTGCAGCCGTTGTTTCAGGGTGTACTGATCACATCTAAATGCCATGGCGATCTGAGAGAAGGAGGTCTGCCAGCAAGAACATGAACAGCCATTACACACCCTTACTCTAAATGTTTACGGTTTTATCAAGGTTTTAATTCTGGGTGCAAGAGAAATGATACGAATTAGCTGCGTTTTTTTTTTTTTTAAACAAATCTTAAGTGTCAAAAATAGAAAAGAAAGTAGAAAATCTAAATAGAAATATGTCCTTAACGTGAATTTCTGTCACAGAAATATGCAAGATTTACCCTGATATATACATTTTTGATCTAATATGCCTATTTTCATCAGGTAACTATTAAAACCACAGAGGACAGTTTCACAGTTCTCATGTAAATTAGTCAGGTGCTGATATAAACACTAAAACAAATGTAGCTTGTTGTGATCTCTCCGGTTTATATTGGCCTCTAAAAGATCCCATTCTAATGCACTTTTAATTCAAACGAGGGAACAAAGCCTTAAAATATCCTCCAAGTCTACCTAAAGCTAATTTGATGTTTCCCTCCATCTAATTAAATTGAATTACACAGAGGAGCATAAATACCCACATGCAAACAGTTAAATTAGTTTAAACAGCATGTGATCAAGGTTATACTCAGCTCCATGAATCGTGGGTTGACCTTACCTCCAAATCTTTCTCCGACATCTCTACGCTGTCAACAAAACAAAAGCATTGTAAGTTTAATAAAGTCAATTAAACACATTTTATTAGACAGTGGCTGATGTCATCATATTTTACTGTGGTACCTGTTAAGGCCTACACGCTCTATGATGGAGAGCTCATTCCAGCTGACGATTGACGCCTCTTCTTGGCTGGTTTCTGTTTTCAGATACATCCCAGTTTAAAATCAGAGCCTTGATTCTTGTTGTTGGAATGTTTTTATGGACGTTAAATATCTGTTACCTTCATCACTGTCCTCACTGCCCAGCATGGTGGAGGCACAGAAGCTGGTTGTCTCTGCTACAGGCTGAGATCAGTTTAGAAACACAACACCCGTCAATCAAAGAAAATCTGCATAAACACAAACAGGTAGGACAGCTGGGAGATTATTTCACTCACCTGAGCATCCATCGTGTCTTCACAGGTATAATCCAAGTGCCTCCCAGTTTACATCCAGGCTAAATGATTTCAGTCCTCTTCAGTCAACGGTGGACTTCTCATTGCTGCTGGAAACACCAATATATATACTTGTATACATCCAATATCCTGTCCGTGTTTGTATCATTTCCCCCCTCAGGCTTTCTCCTGTCCTGAGAATAGATAATCCTATTAAGAGATCCACAGTCAAACCAGAGCAGGACGGCTGCCACAAGAGGCTCATGGGTATGCCTGTACCTGTTGCTGTGTCTATCTTTGCTAAATACATGCTGCTGTTTTCTGTAGTGTTGAATCAAATGTCAAACTTGTGCAGTTTCCATTCATTCTAAGGCTGTTTTCACACTCCAAGCCTTTGTGCTCAATTCTGGTTGTCTGCTCAGATCAGATTTTTTTTGTTTTGCTGTTCACATTGCTTTTGTAAATGAGGCCTGGATCAGATGCATGTGGGAATCCACATATGGAAGTGGACCAATTTTGATTTGAAATGAACAGATTCCATGTGACACGTGATGTTCACACGATCACTTTTAGGTGCAGTGTTCAGTGTCCTTCAATGAGGTTTAATTTTGGATGGGTAGACACAGGACATACTAATATAAATATATATATATATATATATATGATTTCAGACAGAGTTTAGAGTCTCTATTCTCATGGAATACTGTTGTTACTACAGTGTTGAGTATCTGATGTGCCCTGAGGGCCCCTCCCATCCAAACTTCCTGACCTTTAAGCACTTTGGTTAACTAAGATTTTTTAAATGTTTAAAACACTGAGAAGTATTTTAAGAAAAATAACCACCAAAGTTCATCACCAGTTGCAGAATATACTACAATACACATGAAACTCTGCACTAGGGTTCGTTAACTTCTGCTTTAGCATCTCGTTTGTCAAATTCATTTAGCTGCAGGATTATTGGTAACAGATGATTATTCACGAGCATGGCTCGGACTTCATAGGAATATTAAGTGTGGTAAGCTTAGTAATAACTTGTGAACCTGCTTGTTAACAGGCTTCTGGCCACTTCAAAACCAAAAGTATTTTAATAAAGTACTATGAAGCCACGCCAAATAAGTCCAGAGGTGCTTGGCCAATCACAAACTCGATTCCTTTTACTACTTCCTCTAGATGAATTGAGATTTCAGGAATGATTTCATAATGAGCACAAAGGAAGCTCTTAGTGTTATCTTAGACCATACAATCCCATTACCACTGAACTAGAGATTATAAAACCAAACTTAAAAATCATATACAGCATATGGACATTGACATGTCCAGGATGTTTAACAAGGCCAACCTTAAACTGTTATTTTGACCACACTTTGTAATAATCATCTAAATACATAGTTCTATAAAAATACTGAACTTTTCAATGCCATGAAAAACAAAATATAAAGATTAAAAGACACTCAAACAGTAGACTTTGGAGCATCTCCACATTTTTAATAGAAAAGATGACATTTAGTAGAGGCGTTGGGGTTTGCCCATGGTGCTCTTGACGTAGAGGGCACGCACGTTCTGCCAGTTCTTCTTCAGCAGAGACACCAGGAAGTTCACAGCCAAGTGGACGTTGTACACAAGCTCATCCTCTGTCATCTTGACGTGTCCTACTGCTACAGCCAGACAGAGCACCTATGACAAAGAAATATGTTCAGAGACCCAACAAGACCAAGGAATCCTAAAGTATAATCTCAAATTAGGAGATACATTTTCGGAATAAATAAGACAATAACAAACAGGATAAGTGGTTAGGATTTCATTATGCCTGAATACCTTCTTCATCTGGAATTTGATTGTGGATTTGACTTCGTCCACCTTGGTATTCATGTTCTCGTTGTGGGTGAGCAGGGAGGGGAACTTGCCGGCCTTGTTCAGCCCAGGTCCCAGGATACGAGGGATCTGCTTGATCAAGGACTCAGAGGCCAGGAAGGCATCGTACTTCTTGGCTAAAAGAGGAATAACAAACATTTAAGATGCCTGTCTGACTTTGGAATCAATAGTTATAGACGAGAGACTGTGTGGGATGATGTTAGCTTCATACCGAGCTTCTTGACCATCTTCTTGTTCTTGTTGAGCTTCTTGAGAGCCTCAATGTCCATGTGAGGCAGCTCGGCTGCTTTGGCCTCATCACAATGCTGCTGGTCTCCCAGGACACACACAGCAAACTTGGGTCTGGGCAGAGTCTTCAGCCTGCATATTAACACACACAGTCAATACACTGCTCCCAGTCGTTAATCAAACCCTGAGGCATCCTTTGGTAAGGAAGGCGCAAACATGGTTAGCCCAGAAGCATAATCTGCATCGTGGTGATAAAAATGAAAGCAGCAGGGTGCTTTTTACTGCATCGATCGATTACACGGTCAATTTGAATTAATAAAGGTACTCTAAAACATTAGTTTTGTCAGGACATAAACTCTGCAACACCAACATTAAACCTTGCAGATTTAACTCTTTAATAGAAAAATTCTTACCCATACCACCACAGTAGCCGTGTCCAGCTGACCTCTTTGGTAAGGTAATGTAAATTGGTCGGCCAGAGGACATGAGCATGAAGCTCAGCCTCTCATAGCCTCCCCTCATGTTTTAAGACCCAGGGTAGGGGTCCGTCTGCTTCACCTCCACCAGCCAAGGCTGGGTCAGCTCAGTCAGACTACCCAGAGTACTTCTCCATGTCTGCTCCTGGCCTGTCTGATATTATGTTTTTATTGTTGTTGTTGTTGTTGTTTTTTTTTACTTTAAAAGGCTTCCACAGGAAATTGCCAATCAACTGGCTGTATAAATACTCAGACAGGGCTGGAAGCACACAGGGAAAAGGTTGGGTGAAACAGTAAAAGGTCGAACCTGACAGTGCCGGAGAAACGCTTGTCCTTCTGGGGATCATAGTTTTTCAAGCTGATCTGCAACTCCACTGACTCCGTGAACCTACAGAAGGAAATAAAGTTGTAATGCCATTCCTGCGTTTCATGTCCCTTCCAAAAAAAAAAAAAAAAAAATATTAAACTTACTTCCTTGGCTTGGTCAGAGATCCCTGCAGGACCTCCTTCACGGCTTCATATAACGTATCCCTGGAGACCTTACTGTAATACAAATAATAAAAGATAAATTAAAACAAGTAGCCTATAATACATGAAAAAGCTCAATAAGCAGCGATCTAAAAAAAAAAAAAAAAAAAAAAAAAAAAAAGATGACACAACTCAAAAATAAGTATCATATTATTATCTAGATGTGTTAATTCATACGTCGAATGCTTGATTATATTATAAAATACGTTTTAAATCAGTGGATGCCGATGGATTTCTCTTAAAACTGAAGCATTGTATCCCTCACCGGTAGGCGCCATGGTGCCGTACCTAATGTTAGCCTCACCAACTTGTCATAAAACTGTACCATAAACACAAATGCAGCGTCCCACTCTAACTTTAAAGGTTAGTGGCCTTAATGATCTCAGAAAACCTTAGAGACATGTTATTATTCGACATTTATTAATAAAATTGAGCTTCACCTCATCTTGTCGGCTGTCGCCTCTCTCCTTGCTACGCTGGAAAAGGAAGTACCGGAGGAAATTACGTACAATAAATGCGGCTGGGCTGACGTCACCACACGCCATCATAAAGCGACTTCATGGTAGTTTTTTCCCCTTACTTTATTTAGCTGGTAAATGTACAAAAATAAAGGATATTTCAGTCATCACTTGAAACAGACTCTTTTAAAACGGAGCACAAACAACAACAACAGTAATACTAGGGACAAAAATAATACATATACAGTATATAAATAGCGATTATTCTAATTCATTCATTCATTATTCTAAATCATCAATACTGTGAAGTAGTTTTTTTTTTGCTGTTTTCTTTTTTAACCTTCAGTGATTTACTACAACGTGCTAATTCTCTTGTGAAAATTGTCAGTAGGGGTTGTTTCCCAATACATGATGAATACAACCTTCCCGAAAATGCACTATATGCACTCATATCTTAACTCCTCTTGTGTTTTAACTTGGTAATTTCTTATCTTACTTATTTAGTCTATTTATGTTTCATATTTATATTTACTTTTTATTTTTATTAATATTATAGTTTGGGTTTTTTTTTTTATCCTTTAACCACTTGTTTCTATTTCTTTTACTGCTCTTACCTTCTTATTGCTGTTATCTTTTTATTTATTTTTTTTAGCTCTTTTAGTTTCTTACATTTTTTAAAATCTTTGGTTCCTCTTGGTCTCAGCTCTTGTTGTTGGGTTCTTATGATGGTTCTTGTGATGGTTATACATGTCTGTTGGGTATTGTGCACTTTGGGTTCTTTTCTGTTGAATTGTGTTTAATTATTTTTAGTATTTTGCATTTGTTACGTTCTTGCTGTTGTTTATGTTCTTCTGTGTTTGGTTTAGTTTGCTTTGTTCTTGTTTTTGCTGTTTGTCAAAGCACTTTGTAAACCTGAGTTTTTAAAAGGTGCTATATCAATAAAGTTATTATTATTATTATTATATGTTCAACAGATGTTCATTGTTTATGTCCTCCATTATGTTACCAAAACATGATAGTTTCTGGAAGGGGGGGGGGGGGGCAGAGAAAACTTCTTTGATTTCAGCCGATTACTCATATTACACTGAAAAGACCGAGGACATTTAAAAAAAAATCCAAACTCTCTATGACATTATCAAACAATGTTACCTATTTAATATTAATAGGACTGATGGGTATTTTCTGTTTAACTACAACTAAGAACATGTTTTTTTTGTATACCCTACAATTACCTCTGGAATCAAATTCTCAAAAAGGAGTTCTGCACTTTACACATTGAAAGCTATCCATAAAAAGGCCAAGCATTAATCATCTGGATGTTTCATGCAAGTTATCCCATAATTCCATTTTTTATTACAGCTGAATATTATATTATATTATACCTGTCAAATAATCCTTGTGGATTTAAAGGTGAAATATTTACCTATTAAAGGTATTTAGGTAAAAGATCTCAAATTGTAATCGTTCAAATGTGTTACATTATATTCCACCACTGCATGTTTTTAATGTTGAAAATGTTTTATTCAACAATTAGAGCACAAACACAAACATGCCATGAAGATCACAGCAGAAAAAGTTTGAACTTTTAAGAAGACTCTCGTGCAAAACAAAGTCGAGGATAAGAAAGTCTTCATGAGTCAGTGATTCTTTTCAGTGCAGCTTGGAGAGGCTTTTTCAGGAAGGTCTCATTTAACATCAGGCATCCGTTCAGGGATTGTTTGTGTGCAGCAGTTACCTGGAGAAAAGAGAAAAGAGCGCAATAAGATTAAGAATTTCATTTAGTCAACAACAATAATGCATAGTAAAAATAAATGTCCAAACTCACATGAATGCTATATTTGGTGAGGACTGTCAGCATCATTTTTGCAAACTTCACAGACTTCGTGAATTGAGGACCCTGGCTGATGAGCTGTTCTGTGAACTCCGCAAATAGTTCTTCACTCATGTCAGGCTGAAAGTAAAAAAAGCTAATTTAAAAAAAATGATTACTATGAGAAAGCGGTCTTTCAGAATTCTTCCAATCAATACACGTAGGGAATACCTTGGAGTCTAACAAGCTGTGGATAATGGAGAGCACTGCCTCGTTCCATGATATTTTGAGTGTCATTCTAGAAGGAAAAAAAAGTAAAAGACTTCTTCTTCTTTGACTTTTAAAGGCAGTAACACATGAATACAGAATTCAAATATATTATCTTACTGCAGGACAAGCAGTCTGTAATGTGAATCCAGGCATCCTTCTATCAGTCTGTTCAGGAGCTCCGCCTGTGGATTCCCTGAAATTAAGACAAAGCTCGTAAGAGAGGATCAACTGACACTAGGGCCAGAGTTGGTCATGGATCAGCCCTTCAGAATATGTGTTCTGTTTCTGTGTATTTGAACTAGCACACTCCATCGATGCCAGCTCCAAAGCTGCCGGACAATAACCACCTCTGACCAGGCTTTGAAGGATCGGTGTGAAGTACAAATGATTGAAACCTTCTCCTCACCTATGTTCTTGTCCTGTAGAGCTGGTCCGATTAGAGCTTGACACATTTGTCTGGGACAGTGGCTGCACAGCTGTGTTGCTGCAGTGACAAGACATCTGGAGGCCGGTTCTGACAGGGACAGAACCTGCGCGTCGAGAAAGATTATAACCCTTTAAGCATCAAACACGGTGACATCCCATTTAATACTTTGCATGTTAAGCAATATACCTTCTTCAACAGGAGACTCCTGATGAGTGTCGCTGCCGTGCTGTAGCTGATGTCTAGAGATGGAGCCAAAATACTGCTGCACAGTTTGGGCAGAGTCTGCTCCGGTATGTCAGGAAAGCTCAGCATGCTACATAACAACTCCACCTACACAATTAAAAATACTATTAACAACTTAACACATCTTCAATTCATACTTAAAAAGACATTTTACAAAGAGGAACATTGATTACTGAGTACATACCTGGCCAGGGTCACACTCGTTCAGCACTATGAACATGTTCATGGAGCTCTGGTCCCACTGCAAACAGACAGCAAGAGAAATAAAAAAAACAGTAAGACTGTGCTTAATATGAAGATCATTTGTATATATATATATATGACTTTTACCTCTGTGTGACTTTCCAATAATTCTTTTATTTGAAGAACAGGGACCTAAATAAACAGAAAAATAGCTGTTGAAGTTGTGTTACCTAAACTATAATGTGTAATGAAAGTAAATATTTTAAGCCAATTACTACACTTATTTCTTCTCGTCAATACAAATGTAATAATTTGAAAATGAAGGGCTAGATTAAGCCTGTCCTGCCTTTAAGGGACCCTACCTTTAAATGTTCAGGCAGTGCATCACATGGACGTTCAGGTGCTGGCAGCGGCTCCTCAGCGGTCTCTCCTGGAGCATCACTTTCTAAACGTCCTGATAATTCTACTTTAAGGCCTTGTTCTTCAGTTTGGAGACACTCACTAACACAGACATCCATCTTCATGCGTTTACTCTTCTGTCCCGTTTCCTCACCATCTGAGTCCAGAGTAGCAAAGCTGCCCTTCCTCTTTCTTTGAGTGCCCGGCTCTGATAAACCAGATTCCCTCTGTGATTCAGATTCCTCTGTTTGACAGCTAAAGCATTTCACCCATCCTCCAGCCTCACCACAACTAACGAAACGCTGCGAAAGCTCCTTCAGTCTCTGGCTACAGCTTGGAGTGTAAAGAGGCATCCCTTTATGAACCCCCATGTTTCTCTTCAGCTGTCTAACCAGAGCAGCGACCCAGGGGCTCACATTAGGGTCCTGGCTGATGCATTTCAGCAGAGGAAGAACCTTTGTCGGAGGAAGAACTGGCTGAAGCAGAAGGATGAATGAGAGCAGGTTTCTTATGAAAAGTTTTGGAAACAGGCACACCAGGGGTTGTCTGGAAAAGTTGAGGAAAAAATGGCTGAGAATTATAATTTGACAAATGAAACTGAAGGGATATTTTTTTTTATTTAAGTCTTTATTTACACTCGAAAATCATTGAGAGCATAACCCTCATTTACAATGACGTCGAGCAGGATAAACAATGAAAAATAACAAACATACATATACAAATATATGTACACATACACACATAAGCATATGCATATACTGTATACATACACACACATATATATATATATATATATACACATCATAGATAAACAAAATCAGTTAATAAAAAGTATTAAAAACAAAATCAATTAAAACCTGTGCAATCAGAAGTAAAGATCTAAAATGGCCATAAGAGACCAGTGCCTTGATTTTTAAAGTGCCTTGTAACAAATTCCAAGCTGATGGTGCAAAGATGCCAAAAGCAGATCTGGTTCAGAATGAGCTCTAGGAACCTGCAGTGTAAGCCAATCATTCGATCGTGTGTAATGCACTCCAGAATATCAGACTAACGTGGATGAAATGTAAGGAGGCAGCATCCCAATCAGCACTTTATGAATAAAAAGGTACAAATGTAAGTCTCGCCTAACAGAGAGAGAGGACCAACCAACATTTTTATACAGGATGCAGTGATGGCTGCTGTAAGCATCACCTGTAATAAATCTAATAGCAGAATGGAAAACTGCATCAAGTGGTTTTAAAGTTGCTGCAGAAGCATGCATGTACAATGTGTCACCATAATCTAACACAGATTAAAAAAATATGTTGCAGTTTAAATCACAAGTAGTGATTCAGAGGTTAAATCTTAATATAAATCCTGGGTTTAAATCAGCTGTCGCTCTATAACAGAGTCCCCCTGGAATACAAGGAATAATACAGCAATGACTAAAATTAAAATTGTCATTGAATTTATACTGATAAAAGCCATTTTTCTATCCGTGTTTCTGTCTTTTTATTTAATATATGATTTAGAAAAGCAGATTTTAACTGTGAAATAGGTCCCTAGAGATAAGCAGACATTCTGGGTCTCAAATATACATAGAGCAGCTTTAAGTTTGGCTGAGGGTCTCTTTGTTTGGACGCAAACAACTATGTAACACCTACAATTTGTCTGGGTAGAAAGCAAAGACTGTATATAATTTTTTTTTTTATAGTCTATGGTAGAAAGATTGTTAATCGTTTTTAATCTTTTATAATGGCCAGTGTTGGTAACTCACTTTTAAAGCTGACTGAAGCAGTCAAATGTGGATTTAAAAGTAATCGTAGTAGGCATATACAGCAACCAAAATCAGTCTGTCAGTACTGACATTTAAATTTTAACAAATAGATGTCTGCTTGAGTTGTTATGAAGAGTCCAAATTCAGTTTTTAGCGAGTTTCCTTAAAACAACAAATAGCTTTTTGATAGTTTCCTCTAGGACAGTTTGGCTTCAGTTAGTCCAGATACACACCTTGTTGTATTCCCACAGTAAGAAGGAGGTTAATTGAGAGGTCACAAAAATATACAACCCACTTGCACAGTGATGGTTGAGCAAGCGCCGACTGTTGTTTATCTAATGTGGTGCGTAAAGCGTAATATTCACAGTCTATGGGTTTAACTTACACTGATAGTGGCAGAACTTCTTCAGCTCGACAGTTTATTTCTTCCTGACACAGTGCATCTATGAAGGCTGATATTGACATATTACTGGCCCGCTGCTGCCTGTGGAAGACGTCCAGAGCTCTCTCGGCTCCGGTGGCTCCAGAGAGAAGAGCCCGGACAAGAAGCTTCGACTGCCCGTCAAACCGACCGAGAAGCACACCAGCGTCCATAACTCTTTTTTCAGTTCTACCCAAGAGTGTGATCATTTACAGTCTATGAGTGTGGCCAGTCTGCTGCTGTCAGCTAACCCGCCAGTTTTTTTTTTACGACTCTTCTTCGTGAGTAATTACTCTAAACCTTGCGCCACACCGCCATCTAGTGCCTGAAGTGAAGAGCAATAGAATCAACCTAATAGTAACTGATATATAACCAAACCAAACAAACAAAATCAGTAAGAGCAAGACACATCATTTCAGTGAGACAAAATGTGAAGCAATGTTTTATTTTCTGTGTACAAGTACAACTTGTTTAAAAAGAAATAAAATCTCAATTTTCTGTTCTTGCCAAATCTTGAAAGGAGGATTATCAATCAAGGCAGGTAACATCAGTAGTGGACTTCAGCAAGAAGGGTTACAGTACACTTTTTATCTATAGACAATTAAAACTACCATCCACTCAACACTTTAAAATATCAAAATGGTGCAAAATGCTTGGACAGAAACATCAAGTGAGCACTCAGTGGAGCCACTTCTGGAAACTAACATCAGCAACAACTTTAAGCACTCTGGCCTTGGGAGAAGGATTTAAACTAGAAGGCATAAGATCAAACAACAAGTTCATTGGGGAGTAAACATCTGTCCGACACAAAAATTGTTTTTTTTTCCTAGAGCAGGGGCAACATACCATGTGCTGTGGAAAGCCAAGTAGCCAAATCGACTGTAGCAGGTGATTTCAAAGCTTAGTTCCTCTCTGGCTGAAGGAGGACAGGTCATTAAAATGACCTGCTGTAGTCCAACTGTAATTCAAAACCTGGACACCCTTGGCCCTCCATGGTGCATGGTTGATATCCCAGATCTTGGTCAAGGCTTCTATATGTTCTTACATGTATCTGATGAGGACCGAGGGGTCAAAACAGCCATGTGTTCTTCTGGGGCAAGTTTTACATTTAAAACCCCGTTCAATGGTTTCAAGCACTGGCAAAAATGAAGAAGCTCAGAAACCATACTCCGCAGCTAGGTAAAAAGGGAACTCGTAATCATCGTCGTCGTCATCATCATCGTCGTCGTCTTCACCACTGAGGAGGGTCATGGCTATGAAAAGATTAAGCAGATCTACACCATCGTATTCATCATCTTCTATAGGACACTGTTGAGGGGGGAAAAGAAGGGAATGCAAAACCACCACACATTATTTAATGCATGCAAACATTACATGGCAAGCATTGGATTCCATTTACCTGAAATGACCTGCGACGTGAATGTTTGTCATGCCGATAAAGGCATTCCGTTTTGAAGGGGCAGCATCCGTATCGTGAATAGTAAGTGCAGCTTCTCTTACTGAAATCAGAGACAGATGGGTTGCATTTATTCACAAACCAACGACACGTTGAGATTTAGCATTTTAGATCCAGTTTTGTTTTCCAGTTGCTGTAACACCACATCCATTCTAAAGCACAACACAGCTGTAGAATTCAGGATGTCATTTAGCAGAGAAAGTGAAAAACACTTTGAATAAATGAAAATGATTTCACATCCCATCTAATTATTATTTGTTTAACTACAGTTCATTTTGAGGTTTTTAATTTAGTGGTTTTGTTTACTTTTTTAGCTTTGACTAATTAAAAGCAAAAGTAGAATTCATCCTAAGTAAAAAGCTAATGAGGATCCAACTTCAGTAAAGTTACAAGAGCAAAAAGGCATTTGATAATCACAATTAATAATGGCCAACTGTTACCTTCGTTATGTTCCCTATACAAAACAATTTAAAATCAACATGTTAGTTTGCTTGAACCATATTCTTTCTGGATCTTAGTTTTTTTTTGTTTTTTTTTTTTTTAGGAAGAATCAAAAACACAGTATTCAGCTACTGATTAGTTTCATGAAACATATTTCCTCTTTCCCCTCCACAAACACGTTTTGATTCCTTTAGCCTTTCTGTTGTCATTACTGGTGCTAACAAAACTGAGTCTAACCTCATACCTGAATTTGTCTTTGAAGGCCGCAATCAAGCTTTCCTTTGCTTGTCCCTCGACCCAGTATTTGTTCGGCACGTAAAAGGCGGACCTCACTCGGCACTGTGGGCAGGTCCTGATGAATCAACATAAAAGTCATGTTAGTCATCATTCTTATGTGGGCTGGATGATTCATTTACATATGACACCTACTTCACCGTGTCTGGCCCAAGGTCTTTTGTTTTCCTCCAGGTCATGATGCATTGTAAACAGTAGGAGTGACCGCAGTTGGGCAAGATTCCAAACATATGGCTCCTTGGATCTTGCTTTTCATACACCGTTTCCATGCAGATGCCGCAGGTCACATTTTTACTTTGATGGTAGGCCTCCAATTCCCCCACTGACCTTTCGGTACTAGGGGCCAACACAGCAGCAGCAGCACCACCACTACTACTATCACTTTCACCCGCTGTTGTCTCATTTGAAGAAGCCTCCTGGACACAGAAACAATGCAATCAGTCTAAGCCTGCTGGGTTAAATGTGTTGATAACATAACCTGTAGGGACAACGTGTACCTGCTCATTACAGCTGCTGTGGGCACTCGCTTGAGCAATGTTTAAACTCTGAGACGATTGCCCAGAAGCAGCAAGATGAGAGTCAGTATCTTCACAGAAAAAAAAAAAACGGTTAAGTAGGTAGACATGCCAAGAAAAGCCAGTCTCAATCATAAAAACACCCAGTACCTTGTGTCTGTTCCTCAGCGATACCTGTTGCCAGACGCCCAGTACTGTGTAGAGGATTTGAGACATTAACCACTGACTGTGATCTGTTGCATTCCAGCCTGGACATCACCTCAGCCTGCAGAAGAGCAGGCTCTGACCCTCTTCTGGCAGGGGGAGCATAAACAACACTGGAGGAGGAGAAGGCAGGCACTGAACTTCTTCTACCTGCGCCTTCAGGTTGATGGACATGGATGTACCTTATAGTTAGGAGATATTGAGTGAGCAAAGGAACTTTGTATGAAAGCACTCAAATACTGTACATACAACTGGGGAAGTTAGTGTGTGTGTGTGTGTGTGCGTGTGTGAGGGGGGGGGTTATAGTTTACCTGCAGTTTTCACCATACCAGCAACCACCTTTCTGAAAGTACCTACATATTTGAGCTGTTGGTATGACTGGCCATTCATGTCGATAATTACACCTTGAACCAAATCTGCAACAGCCATTAATAAAACGCCTGTAATGGAAAGAGAGGAGTCAATGTCTACCGCAAAGCCTCTGGTGTGTGTGTGTGTGTGTGTGTGTGTGTGTGTGGTCCTCAAGCCCCGGAAGCTCAGGGGAGAAAGAAACACCGTTTGCAGTTCCTCTAAAGTTACGAAGCAAGGCGGCTTAACCTCAACAATATTATAGTGAGTCAACTGGTTGAGAAAGTAGACCTCTTAGAAGCGAACTACAGAAACTATAAATTACAGAAATAAATCGATATTCTACGATTATAACGACGACACGAAATGCATTAAAAGGAGCCATCGAGTCCTCTACATGTTTAAAGCAGTGTGTGTGTAATGTATAGCTGGCTGACTGGGCGGAGAGATAACTTTGAAAAACTTTGCCCACACACGCAACCCTCAATATTGTTGTTTACATGCTGACGGAAATAAAAAAGGCCTCAAGCTGCTGCACAAAGTTACCTAAGGTCTCTGAAAGGACTGAAGAGGTTAAACTTCATGTCACAACACTGAAGACGACGGTTAGTTCAGACGGTAACTCAAGTGTTACCATAACAACTTCACGTTACCTGCTAACGCGACACAACGACCCGTAACATGACTTATTCACTTCATGTGGCTCTCTACACTACCAGTCTTCCTTTTCGTCAAAAATCAGACCATAAATAAACGTTCACGATTCAATATAACACTTTTTTTTTTTAAACTGCATTTCTAAAAGCTTAACAAAATCCTCGTTTCGCAGCAACGTCCACATTCAGATGAAGCACAGCCGGAGTTGAGTAGACTTCAGGCGGTTCAACACAACGAGTTTCAAACGCTTCAATCCTATCAGGTTGTTGTGTCTCAAATGGCTGCTTACCTACAGATACCTCCATTAGTGGCCGATTCCATCCTCCGTGTGTTTTGAGCATGCCGCCAAACCCCCTCCATCCTACTACCTAGCTAAATAGTGAACAGCCGGATCCTTCCACCAATTAACATAGCAACGAGCCAATAGCAACGAGACGTTGACGTTTGTTCTTGACGTAACCGAACCGTTCCATCCACAGAACTTCTCCACTGTTTGATTATTTATAGTGATCACACCAAGGGAGAACCGGTGTGTTTACAAGTGATGAAGTTGATAAACCAGCATGTGTGGTATCATCTGTGTGATTAAATAAATTGAGAAAAATCAGTGTTTTATGTTTCTAACAAAGTTTATAAGTGAGATGTGACTAACTAGATTTGCATATTGGTTACAAGTGACTATTAGGACGAAATTAATTCAAGTCTTAACATGTTTTTGTGGGGGGAAAAAAACATGTCAATCCATCAATAACACAGGCATAGAGGTAGCTTACATCGACAACCGTTTTTGGTGTACTTTCTTCTTTTATCCATCCACACACTTCACTACCTTGGCACTCTGCACATCAGTCAATAATATCAAATTTGCACCAATAGCAGGAATTAAGGCCCAAAAAAAAAAAAAAAGGTAAGAGATAAGATGAGACAGTGGAATAATGTCAGAGATCATACATTAGAGGTAGATAGGGATCAAGACAGAGTAAGAGCACAAGAGGAGAAGACTGTGCACCAGTGACGAAACACTGAAGTCCATTCAGAAAAGTACAGTGGAAAAAAAGGCGGTGTAACAGAGGGAGGAAAAAAGTGGAAATCATGAATCCTACAGTAATGTAAGGCTGTTACATGTCGTGTCTACCAGAGAATTTAAGACTGGTTGTATCATGGGTAAATACAGAGATTTATATCGGATATTGGATGGTAAGTTTCTATCCAGTAATGACATTATGGTACTGTGTGCTGGTTTTAGGTTAATCCCGCTAAGGCATGAAACCAAAATTCCTCAACAAGGAAAAGTTTGTAGGTATGCTTGATGATATATTTGGTAAAATCTAAACTAAATAGTCAGGCATGGAAAACAAAAGAAACAAAAATATTTAGTACATAAAACAAGATGATAATTCATGTTTTGTCCTAGCAAGAATGATCAACAATTACAAATAATTAGTCATATCATTACAAATTCAACTAAGAAAAAAAATAAAAATGGCAATTGTGATAATTTGCTTGTTAACATAAAGGAAAAAAAACATGCGGTCCCTTGTACTTGAATGGGTCGTGTGTTTATAGTGTCAGCCTCAGAAACAAAATCTGTGCAGCATAGTCCATATTTAAGTTACCACTTAGGTATATGGCTTTAAGACAAAACCTATGTAACTTGGATCTCCACATTTATTGACAAATGGAAAAAGGGTATTGCACAGAGAGCTGCTTTGAGAGAGCTCTGCACTGCTGGAGCCAGCCCAGTTTGTGTTCTAGAAACCAGAAGGCAAAAGTAGCAGTCATTGATAATCATGATAATGATGTAAACAAAAAAACAAATGTGTGCATCTTCAGTTTTGCCAAAAGTCTGAGAACATTCACTCTACCAAAAGGCATTTTAAGAAACTCTTCAACAATGTGAGCTGAAAACTCATTTCTAAATGAAATATGCCATTGGTGTAAGAATATGAAATGCTTTCCCTTCACTAGAAACACAGAGCTGAGGTGAGTGAGGAGAAGCTCTCTCAATACTGCTCAGGGGGTCAACTTTGCTATTAGGATGTAATAGGAGCAGCCTCGGTGAGAAAACATACCAGTCTCTCTGTTAAGTGAATGTTGTGGAAAACTAGGACTTGCAGCAAATGATTCCAGATGCTCATCTCTTGCACACACATACTCACACACACACACACACACTGCTGTGCTGAGGGTAATGCTGACATTGAGAAGACTTTGTTGATTGTTTTCGCCCTACCACTTGACTTTGCCTCATGTGGACTTGTTAAAATCCATGCCCGTACGTGGACCAGTGCTTGAACTGAATGAAGTGTATTATTATAAATGTCAGTTCAGTTTGTAACAGTATTGCTAAAAGCAGCCTGTGCTGAATACTAATACATGTCTTTGTAGATCTCCTGTAGTAGAGGGTGGAGCGAGGTCTCAGACTCAGTCTTTTTGATCTTTTGGACAAGGTGAATGTTCTCTGTAACCAACTGGCGGAGGTCGGCCATCTTCTGCAGCAGCTTGGGGAAGAGGTAGACTGAGTCAGAGTGGTTTGCTTGTAGGTGGAGGTCTAGTGCCTGGAGAATGCTGTCCTGACTCTGCTCCACCTGCTTCACGTTTATTAGCCCGGGACGATCTGGGAGAACAAGAAGGGAACATCCTACAATGAGTATAATTTTACTGCAAAAATACAGGGTTTCTGTATACAAAAAGTAAAATTCAAGACGTTTAAGATCCTTTTAATGCCAATTAGAATGCTATGTATAACCTGTTTTACAAGCATTAATGCTAAAGCACGAAAGAATGACACAAACCAGTTCAGAAAATATTTTCTGGGAATTCTTTTTTTTATATCACCTTCTATTTATTCCCTAACTTTATTTTTTATTTAATAAAATTTCCCAGTTAATGTAAGTATGACCCAGCCTAAACAGCTTGGACCCTGGACTCTTTAAGACGTGGATACGCTGATAATAAAAACAAGCTAATGTGGCATTCTTCATACTTTTAAAGAAACCTTGTCAGTCTCACCTCCACAGAGAATGATGGCAGCCACAAACAGGGCCAAGTCGCTGTCATCCAGCTCCAGGGCATTAAACTTTACAGCAAACTCAAACTTGGGCTCCATGATCTCACTGAAAGGCTTTCTTAAGCTGCGCAGGAACTCCCTGGTGACAAAGCCCTTGCCGTTGGCCACCAGCAACCCATCTTTGTTCATGAGTGAAGGAAGCATGGCAAAAATAGCCTCATGCACCCCATACTTCAGCAGAGTCACCTGCAGAAAGAACACAGATGATTGTGCATTAGTCCATTAGCCTTACACAATCACAAATCCTCTCATTGTGCGGCAGAGGGAGTAGACGGAAACTCACCTGGTCATTAAGGAAGAGGTCCACAAACCCTGGAATGCACTTGGCAAACTCTGTGAGTTCTCGCACAGTCTCAACTGTAGTGCATTGGCAGCGGTAGAAAACATGGACACCGATCTCCTTGGTCAGGGGCGCACCTGGAACTAACTGGCTCCAAACCAAACCACTTTCTGCCTTCCAGAGTGTGTCCACGTCGTAGATCACGAACGGCTGAAGAGGGAAAATAAAGTAATTTGTCATAATAAACCTTAAGTTACTTTAAATTGCTCCTATTATATACTTTGAGTGACATTCTTGAAAGGTAAGCTATGTAGCTAAGGATAAGCACAAAAGAAAACAACTCCTCATTTATTAAGAAGTGGTTCTCTTGCTTGTTTCAGATGAAGCTTTAAACCAGAATGAGTTCCACTGACTAACCGAGGTGCTGCTGGTTTTGCCGGTCAGGATACTGCGGGCCCTCTTCTTGGTCATGCTGAGGTTCTTCAAGTAGGCTGTGTTGACTTGTTTGGCCAAGGTCTTCAGGTCAGAGCCACCTGGTTTACCAACATTCAGTTCTTCTGCAAGCAGGCCCGCAACCAGCTTCTTCCTCTCCGCCTCAGGCATACGTCCGTATCGGATCGCTAAGCAAACACACACAGACACAATTTATACACAAAAGATGGGCTTATTTTAAGTAGATATTTCCCACAGGTCATAAGTTTGATAGGACTTTTGTTGGATTCTGATACACAATGTTGTTTTTTTAATGACTAGTAAAATACCAACTTCAGAAAATCAAAAATATAAATGATCAATATTTGAAATCACCTCAACAAATCAAGGGAAATAGCATGTTTTAAAAGTGCAAGAAACTACATAAAATGTTATAGTTATCGAGTTGTCTTACACACCTAACAAGGTGTACAAGCACCATTACGCTGTTTAAATGTATGTCACTGCTCATATCAAGCTAAATCATTCAGACTTTATCATGCAATTCATTATTTTATTAACATTTTTAAAGGAACTTAACCTGGTTTGCAAATTACATTCCAATTCAATTCTTGTATATGTAAAAAAATAATGAAAGTTACTAAACTAATAGTATCCCTCTCACCATCATGGGACATTCCCAAAGACAGGCACTTCTGGAAGCGACAATATTGGCACTTGTTTCGATTCTTCTTCTGAATCTTGCAAGACCGCTCGCAGCGATCATAATCGAGTTTCATCCGCACAGTTCGCCGGAAAAAGCCCTGAGTGAGAACAAACAACACAACCGGTTCAGCAGCTCAGACATGCTGGGATTGAACTTGGTAACCCAAATGTGCTCTTCCACATTATTGAAACACTGCATTACCTTGCAGCCCTCACAGGCATGCACACCATAGTGGAAACCAGAGGCCTTGTCTCCACAGACCTTACACTCCACGCTGATCCCAGCCCCGGTGCTGTCTTCTCGGCCAAGACGAAGCTGTTCTGATAACGAGGGTGACGACGTGTGCGACAGGTCTGCATAACAAAAAAACAAACCATGCATATTAAAACAAATCTGTCACGCTCCTTTTCTCAGGTAGTGAAACAAAGGAAGAAAAATACCTGTGTAGCTGGATGCTGCACTGCTGTTCTTCTTGCTATGATTGTTCTCCACCTGATCCAGACTTTCTTTCTCTTTTTTCTTCTGGTCCCCCTTGAGGCCTTTAGAGGCAGGGACTACTTCTGTCTCCTCCCTGTCCTCCTCATCCTCACTTTCCCTGCCCTTCAGCTCTTGTAGGTCGGTGAGCTCCGACACACTTGTCCCCCCACAGCTGTCAGAACCACCAGACTCTCCCTGTGGTGGCGTCCACCTGACATCAGCTGTGTTCTGGGGGGATTTGGGTTCAGAGTAGCCGTTCACCCTTTTGTGCTGCACAGTTTCAGTTTGCTGAAACTCTTCCATAGCTGCGGTTGAAGCTGACTCAGCGGCTCCCCTCCTGTCACGTTGTCATCATAGCTCCACTATTGAAGAAGAAAAATACTTTTTGTTAAATATGCCAGTATCAAAAATGTGTACTTCAAATACGGATTTCATTTAGAAGAAATATGTCCACCACATCATCACTGTCCACTACAGTGAGGTAAGAGGTTAACTGTTGATTTGGAGTAACCAGTCACTAGCTGAACTGAGTGCAAAGCTTTTTTACAAGATGTTGCAGAGCCAAAATGCTCCTAATATGGTCTGTTATTTTTTTTGCACACACCCTGGCAAAAATGCATGAAGTATATGACTATTTAAGCTTTGGTTTAAGTGAATCCCTTCAAACTGAAATAAGTGCATTTACTTATCTTGACCAGGTTTGTATGTCCTTCCTAGAGACAACACATCACTACTGGTTGTGTTAGAGCAGCAGGGGAATGTCCTTGATAGTAATAGGCTTATGACATGATACACACACGCTTGGTCAACATGCCTGGATTACACGACAGACTGAAAAGACAAGAAGGGGGCCTCGGACCATTAAGAAAACGGAGCGTCCTTAGTTTAGCAAGTAAACAAACTTGCAACACCTGACTGAAGAGGGATGCATACTCATACAATCTGGCATGGCATGTGTAAATCAATAACGGATGCATATTATGCGAGAGAACATTTGAAAATATTAAGGGAAAATATTACAAAAAGTATGAAGGCTTGTCTCTTTCTTGCTACAACTGCAAACAGGATAAAAACAGCTGCCCAAGTATTGCAAAATGTGTGTTGGAAGACTTTATTTTATTTGATAATTTTGAATAAGTTCATGTCACAAAGACACCTAAACATTAATAATAGCCATATTCTGCACCAATGCAATGATCCCTTAAGCAGCCATAGTGTTTGGGTCTCACAATGTGCCCCAAAACATTTCAGTCTGTTCTCCACTATCTCAAAAAAAAACAAAAAACAGTCAACTTTGTCTCTACTGGAGCTGGGAGACATCTGTATTATTGTTTGCCTCGGTATCATGCTAGAGAGCACAGTGTACTAGGTGGGTGCCGCGGTAAAGGGGACAGGGTGCATGCACTGTGTACACACTGGGCGGTGTTGATCGCTGGTGCAGGCTGTGGAGGGAGAGGGGCTTTTTGGGAGGGTGGAGGGTTACATATTTTTCCCCCGCGGCCCCCTAGTGGACTAATCCGTCCATGTATGTAGCTGCGCCCTCTGTTCATTTATAAGACGTGTATTAATGTTTCCAGAGTTCGTACTAACATCACATGATGGCCCAAAGTTAAACACAGTAATACATTTTTTTTTAAAAAGGCTGTTTTCGCAAAAGGCTGCGTGAAAAGTCCACATCACAAGTGTTCGAACTTGTCCACCAGACAACCTGTCACACTGGTTCTCGGGATTAATCTGCAAATATCCCTGAATCGTACAAAGTCAATGACAGGACGGTAACTGGATACTAGCACTTTAGAAATGAAAGGACGCTTCAGTCATACACAAGATGACCATCCTGGTTGCTTTTTTTTATCACTTAAATCAAACATTAATACTCAAATTGGGACGCTTCAGTCGTCGAAGAGTGTCTGCACTGCTAGCTAACTTAGCTAGTTAGCTAACCTTGAATGTTGACTGAACTACTACTAGCTTTTAGCTGCTGACCCACATTCCCGTGTGTGTGCCCTTAAATAACGTTAGCGCTGCTGCCAAGATAGCTTACCTCTGTCAATGCTGCTGCGGATTCACAGGATCTCTTCGCAAACGACACACTGCCACCGAGCTAAATAAACAAGGAGGGAGGGGAGAATGAGCCTCGTCTTGATCGGGCTGTTGACAAGTTGTTTAAAGTCACCAGCAGGAGTTAAGCTAGCAGCATGAGCTAACGTCAGACTGCTAACATAAACTTCAGACTGATTCGGGCCTCCGTGTGGTTTAACAATCCTCTGAGCTACAGTCTACAGTAAAGCAGTTTGGGCACTTTTTTTTCTCACTGCCATATCACACGCAGATAAGCATAGTTAACAGATAATCCCTCTTCGACTCTCTCCTTGTTGCTCCTAGCTTTGCTTTGCTTTGCTTTGCTGCACCCCCCCCTCCCCTCTATCACCCTCTCTCCCCCTCTCTCCTCCTCCTCCATCGTCACATGCCAGGACACACACACACACACACACACACACACACACACACACACACACACACACACACACACACACACACACACACACACACACACACACACACACACACACACACACACACACACACACACACTGGATCCTGCCAACACTATCCAAGGTCTCAGATAACGCTTAGATACGCTGTTATTTTCTGTGACTTGTATCATTTATTCTGCGCTTGTGGAAATTAAAAAAGCGCATTTTGAGACTTTTGGAAATACAAATATGGAGTCTGTTTGTAGTTTAAAAGCCCCCCTGATCCAAATTTGTACATTTTGGTCTAAATATATAAAATAGTTTTCATTTAGCAATATATAATTAAATTGCATGTTTTACATGCTGGATAAAAGCCACAAACCCACAGCATAAGAATATATATATAAAAGAATGGCTTTTGATTAAACAGCGTGGTAGTTGATATGTTTTTTATAGGTAGGTTATTCAGAACATAGTATATACACTTCAAATTCAATTACAATAGTCATAAGCACAGCTTAAGCTTTTTTTGAAAGTTGTTAAATCATGATAAAGCTAAAAAAAAAAAAAAAGATCTAATATTTTGTTGGTTAAAATCTACTCTGTCCATTAAAATACATTTCTTCATATGATAATGATAATAATAATAATAATTGAATGTTTGTACCTGACACCTTTTGAGATCAGCAAATGAATTTAGAATTTGGAGGAAAAAAGAAAGAAAAAGATCCCGACTTCTAATATTTGAATATGTCCACATGTCATGTAGTTTGCTCTGTTTGTCTGTGGATGTCTCTGTTTACTCATGTGAGCAGTTCTTAACTGACAGAGCTGTCAAATTAGTCTGCAATGACACATTTTGAGGCCGACTCAAACTCAAACTAAAGCGGACGTGCTGTTTGCAAATTCAGCAATCGGCTTGTTCCAGTCTGTGGCCTTTGTCATTAAAATGTCAGTGAAATAATTACATGTACCTGTTGACTTGTTTTTTTCTGTGGAAAGTACAGACTTAGTTTTATTGGCAGTGAAGATCATTTCTCTGAAAGGTGTGTTGCACATCATTTAACACAGAAGAGCCACAAGCAGAATTCAGGTCAACACTTCAATTCACTCTTTTATTTACAGTTATGTTAGCAGAAGAAACAGGAAGTGCAATGAGTCTCTCTCTCTCTCTCTTTCCTGTCGATCAGGAGGCAGACACCGACAACATTATTGCATTAACCATAATACTGATCCAATTTTTGACATCAAAAAGTCAACCCACACTCAATGCTCCAGAATGGCTGAATAAAAATAAAACTGTGTTATCTTTCACTATTATAGATTTAAATAAATCAGCTTCCTTGTTTCGTGTTTAGCCTTAAAACATTGCAACTTCCTCTCAGGAACTTGCTTACAACTAACATTTTATTTCCACTGAGGTATTTTTTTATGTCCCAAAGCCTCACGCAGGTCACCGTCAAAGCTTAGTCTAGAAGTGAATTATTTCAAAGCTATTCTCCATTTTGAACTGTTGTGGTCTGTGTAATGAGGTCAGTAAATTAATAGAAATGGCAGTACTGTAATTCAGTTTCAGTGTAAAGTCCCGCTGTTTAATATTGTTTGCACACCAAACAGTTGTTTATGGCCATTTTTTCAGAAAAAATCCCTCCCTCACTGATTCTTCTTTCTAAGGGATGTCCATTTCTCCATTCGAGGCATGGGAATGGCGTTTCGCTGAATCACATTCAGCTCTGTTGTCAACGTTTTCTTTGCTCTCCTCATTCTGATCCTCTGATCCTGATCTCCTGAGACGCAGCCCGGGATCCCTCTGTGTCGGGATCTGGAAGGATGAGTAAGAGCTTCCCAGAGACGGTCTTTTCTCTACAAGCAAAAACACAGCACAAAGAAAGAACTTTAGAAAAATAACCAAATGCTTTCAGCAGTCAAGTTCAATCAGATAAAGTTCTATATATATATATATATATATATATATATATATATATATATATATATATTTATTTGGAGACAAGGATGCTAAACCAGAGGAGGAATTAAATCTAAATTAGTGGTTATGTACCGGCTCACAAACAATCTCAGTGCTAAGAAGATAATACCCACAGGACACAAACCCCTTTGTATGAAGCGACTGTAAATGTCAACCCAACCTCACCTCATTACATGTTATCATTCATTTGTCAGTGATTGCTATTTCCTTTATTAGGCAGTAGAAGTTTTTCACAGCAGACGCTTTGACGTATCATGAGGAGAATCTTTTTATGCATTTTTGTCATTTGCAAATAAAACAGCTGGATGCAATACAAAACAAATATTAGATAAATATTGCGTGCAGTTTTAACTCTTGGCTAAGGTGAGAAAACCTGTGTTAAAATAAAAACTGGTATAATAAAATAAACATAAAAATAGTTCATTAAAAAGTACGTGTGAAACCTTGAGTCCCCTTCTCATGCGATGGTGTATTAGCACTTCAATAGACACTTCCTCTAACTACAGTGGAAACATGCATTAGTGTTTAATGAGTATTTTACTGTTTACACTTGGATACCATGTTTGGCTCAGTTTAATCAAATACAACAGTAAGTCTTGACCGTGTGATTGTAGCAGGCATGAGCAAAATGTTGTTCCTAAAACTGAAGCAAGCTAAATTAAATTCAGCCGGCATTCATTTTATCATCATATTATTTTTCTACTGTCAGCTGGCCAACGTTCTCTGTGAGACACTTTATGTTCAAGTACTGTACTGAACGCAAGCTTAAAATAAAGCTCTTTAAATGCTAATGCTAATTTGTTTGTTACACAATGAATCATGTCGCAGACAGGACTCGTACCGCCTGGTCCGATTGGTCGCATCAGTCTGTTCATCTGGACGTTCCAGTGTTTCACGTTGGTGCTCGCCTGGCGAAGTTTCCTCTGAGCAGCCTGTTGGATAAAAAAAAAAAAAAAAAAAAAGCAGCTCATTAAAACATGTGTCTTGGAAATTGAGGAGCTGGTTCGACTCAGTTGGTAAAGTGGGCACCCCATGTGCAGAGGATGCAGTCCTAAGTCCTCAGATCGCTGGTCAACTCTCCCCACAGTTCCCGTCTCTCTTCAGCTTTCACTCTCAAATTAAGACAAACAAAACATGTCTCTGCTGACTAGCAATACAAAACTGCTTTTAGTAAAAGCACAAAGTCTACAACTATTACACTCCAGTTAAAATGAAATTCCTCAAAGTGACAGAGATCTCTCGCATGAAAGAAACATATCTACAGTTATAATGAAGAAGGCTGAACGGTACTGGCTCTAACAAGCAAAGCCGATAAAAAACAACGCTTGACCTTTTTATCAAGCATGCAAATCAAGCAAATGTCATCCAAGGATATAGTTTCCTTGGGTAAACTAAAAATGGCTCACAATCAGTTTATCTGTGTTGATTGAAACATCTGGTTGGACTTTGAAATCATTGAACTGTTTTGAAGGACGGACCATATTAGCTGTCCTGGTTTAATGTGTTACTGTATGATAGTAATGTGATGCCCTGTCTGTTACTACAAGTGAAACCTGAGAGTTAAGACAGTTTCTTATTTAGATGTGAAATCAAATCACGCTTTTCTTTTTTTCCTGTTCTTACCACCACATCCTGGTCGACCCTGTGTCGGTTGGCTCGGACCTCCTCCAGCTGCCTCTGCGCCTCATCAAGGTCCCGGGACTTGGCCTCCATTTCCTGTTTCAGCTCCTGCTTCTCCCTTTGTGTCTTCAGGATGTACTCCTCCTGTTCCTCCTGCAGGGACATCAGGGCCTTCATTTTCTCCTCCTCTTCAGCCAGCAATCTGGACACAACGGTAAATACACAAAAGATGAATATGGATAAAAATGGATTCATCACCTTCAGGGAGATGAGACTTCTGCGAAATATTAAAAACATTATTGGCCCAACAAATCCTTAATACATTTGCAGATTAACGTGATCAAGTCATCAGACATTTTATGATTTAAAAGATTGAGAGTTGCAGAAACAGCAACACTATAGATGTGACTGATCGCAGCATGAAACAACTTCCTCTGTTGGCAGCTTAACTTCCTCAGCAACATAATGCAACTCATTTCAGCGGTGAGCTGTCTGCACACACGGACTCGTCTCCTCTTACAGCCAACACATCATTGTTTACAGGCTCTGAACCCAAACAAATGATTCCTTATCGAGAAGTGGCCGTGTATGTAGGTGAGAGTGTGGAAAGGGATTGGTGGCCACGTTTAACACTCTACCCTGCTTGAGCGTAGCGGAAAGCCTCCTCATCCATCCTGGCCTTGATCTCCAGCTGCAGCGCCTCCTCCAAACGCTTCTGCATCTCCTCCAGCTCCTGGATTCTCTTCCTCTGTTTCTCTGCTTCCTCCTCTTTCAGAGCCATCTCTGCCTGCATACTGACCCGTGCCTTGAATCCCACAGCAAGAGACACAGAAAGAACACGTCAACCTTTGTGCTTTCTGAATTCAAGCTTTCTTACCCGTCTTTGACTCCACACTTACCTCCTCTGCCTCTCGCAGCTGGACCTCCAAGGCCTGCTGGAGCTGTTCGTGCTGCTGGCGCCTCCTCAGCTCGTCCTGTTCCAGCAGGGCATGAGCCTGCTTTTGCGCCTCTTTCAGGAGGTCCAGCTCTGCCAGCTTACGCTCCCGTTCCTCCTGAAGGGCCCGCAGCCTTTGCAGCTCCTCTTCCTTGGACTGTCGTCTTTTCTCCCGATGCTCACGCTGCTCACGTCGCTTAAGCTTCAGGTCTTTGTGGAGGGATGTTTTCCCCTCCACATGCAGCCTGATAGCTGTTTGAATGGCTGTGGGGAAGAAAATGCTAAGTCATGTGATGATGGAGACGATGATGGTGATAAATATTAGCATATGTGAGACTCCTCTGACCTGTCGTCCACTCCTGTCTCTGTTTGGTGTCTGAGGCGCTCATCTCATAAGTCTTGGACAAGGTTTTCAGACAAAACATGCATCTCTTCCCATCCCGGTCCGGCAGCACCTGGTCAAAAAAAGAAATATTAAATTATATAATTAGCCATTCCTCAATCATTTTTTTTCTCTTGTTACATTTGTTGTGACCATTTCATAAATATAGATAAGTAATGAGAATAAATTGTGAACTCACTGGGAAAAGGATGTTTATGATCCATTTTGTACGACCGAACAATATTTGATCATCGTCTATTTCCTATAATAAAGCATGATTTTAGAATGATTGCTTGTTTTCTGCTGTAGGAACACATGGTGCAGTGTGAGGTGCCCTTGATAAAAAATACAAAATAAACATATATTTTTGGAACAGTTTGTGTGTCATTACTTGGCTTGATCCTGTGACATTGATAAGCTAATGATTGACTTTTGTCTGTGTGAAAAGCCAACAGAGGGGCACCAGTGGCCTATTGGTTAGTTAGCACGCCCCATGTACAGAGGCTGTAGTCCTCGAACCTGCCGGCCTTGGTTCAAACCTGATATGAAGCTCCTTTCCCGCATGTCATTCCTCAGTCTCTCTCTCCCTGACTTCCAACTCTATCCACTGTCCTGCCTCTAGAAATAATGGCATAAAAAGCCCCAAAATAACATCTAAGAAGAAATAAAGACATAAAAAGAAACAGCCACCAGGTCACTTGACCCTGCACTACTGCTGCAGGCTTCATATCAAAAAGACACATTCATGGGAAGTGTTATTGGCGGACTAATCTTGAGTTCAGCTTAGTTAAACTCTATGAGATTTGTGAGGAAATCTGATTGAGAAACAAGGAAACATTCAGTATCAAACTTTAAAAAACTTTGTGGTTCCCAACCTTTTTTTGGTTATGACATGTAAACATGAAACTCTGTCAACTCTGGGACTGTATAAAATCATTGTAAGCTGAGACTTTCTGAAATGGAGTGGGTTGTTTTTTTTCTTGATAATAAGAGGAGGGTCTTTAGTGATTACGGCAAAGTCATTTTGTCACTATCCTACAGCAGATTCACTTCATTGTAATCTGCATTTAAACAAAAGAACGAACAATAAAAGCATGTCTGACATTCAGCGGCAGCACAGTCATTGAGTCAAAAACAAACATGCTGGGGTATTCTGTAGATAAGATCTGAATTTCTTTAATGCCATACATTTGACATTTGCTGATTCGGATTTTGCTGCACACTCACGTGGTTAGTGGAATATTAGAACTCCATTAAAATGTTATAATGGGAATTCTCCCACCTTGTCCTCCTCATAGTCATGACATCATAAGTAACATTGTCTCTCATTACATTGTACTGTGCCTTGTGACGGACACTACGAGTTCATTTGTATTGTGCATTGTGATGAACACTATGTGATTAATCTTTGGTTGCTGCCTTGTCCTATCAGGAAACAAAGAGTAACCAGGTCAAGATAATGCACTGTATTTATTCTGACATGAGCCTCCTCCTTTTCGCCATCTCATGCTGGAGAGAGCCGAGGTCCATTTGCAAACGCCTGGATTAAACTATCTGAAAGACAACTGTCTACTTGGTGTTGTACTTAACACAACATTTCAAGAACGATGTTTAATGTGATCTGATTTTATACATAAAATACTATATGTGAAAAGTATATGTTTCATACATCCTGTGTCTCCAGGGGGGAACTGCTAGAAATCTGATAAAGCATCCGTTTTTAAAAGAAACATGCTGAAGATGGACGCAGAAAAAATGTGCTTTTAGGAGCTCTGTAACCCACTCCCCATCTCAGGCCAAAGCTAGTGGCTGGAAGCTACAAAAACAGCTACTAGAATTACAAAGAAGATTTTCTCAAAAAAACCTTGATTAGGTTTCTTTCATTTAAGACGTTGTGGAGGTGAAACACTGAGCTGGTTAACTACGTCCTTAAGCTTAAAACTGATTATAGCATCCAGAATTCTTTGTCCACTTTTAGTTTTAATGCCTGAATTCTAAAAATCAATTTGTTTGAGATTAGAAACAACACAGTTTTTTACACCCGCATCATTTTATTACGGTCCCTTGAGATTGAAAAAAAAAACCTGACAACTCCAGTAACACAAAAGAAAGCCTCAGAGAAGTTGTTAAAATGACGAATCTGTTAACGAACATGAAACTCTTTCAGCTTCATCTTGTGACAACTCGGGGGAGTCCCCAACCCTCAGGTTGCCCACCCGTTGCCCACAACTTTATCTCAAATACAAAAAACAAAATGAAAAGGTAAATGATCAGTGAGTCTTCTTCTCTGCACAAACTAACGAAGGATACACAGTTATTACAAGCCACAGTTCATTCCAGTTTTTTTTTTAACAGTGTTTAGCTTTGAAAGATGATCGTCTCTTTCTGTTTACCTCCACACAGCAGTTTCCATCCAGAACTATGTTGCCCTGGCATTCCCTGCGGTCTTCCCCCGTGTAGTAGGACAGGTTGCTGGGCCTTAAGGTGAACCAGCGTTCCTTCCAGTTTCTCCTCAGCTGGCCTTTCTTCCACAGATAACCCTGCATGAACCCCAACCAGAGCACACGTAAAAAAAATAAATCACTTATACAGCGCAAAGCATCTCAGGAACCTAAACACAAACCTCCGGTGGCAGATGTACTTCCTACCTCTTTAAGGACATCACCAACTATCTCTCTGTATACTTCCTCTATAGCCATACTGACGACGCCTTTATCAATTCCTTTAGTAATCTTTCCCGTGTTCATCATCTCCAGAAACACCCAAACAGTAATGCCGCGCTCCTGCACAGATTCTTGGGAGAAGAAGTCCTCTAATTCAACACAATTTAACTCAATGCTCATAGCCATGCATGTCTTCTTAAGGAGGTACTCCACCTGAAGAGGAAAGGAGGGAGAGAAAGTGAGAATGAATTAGAGATGAACTGTTCCACTTGTTTTTCTTCCAAATCCAACCCAATTCTGATACCTGTATAAAGATACCAAAACAGATTCGGATTCTGTTTTTAATCGTAAATAATAGTGTTATTGCTGCTGTTGGTAATATGTGTAAGGCTACACAAAGCTGGAGTAAACACAGCATTGCATTTCCAATTTGAAGAAATACATTCTCCTTTTAAACGCATTCAAACTGACACTTTCCAAAGGAATGTATCTGAATGTTGTGCTGGCTTCACAAGCAGCAACAACTGTAAAGTTTTCAAATTATATAGTTTTCTAATATAGAAGGAGCTGTTCCTGTCTGAATGTCTTTAAAGCAAGACTCTGCAAGCTGAGAAGGTTTAAGTGACCAAAGATCTTTCGCTGTCAGTACTATATCCAATACCTAAATGGTGTCAATATTGGACCCGATACCGATATTATATCAGATCTGTCCCATCTCTCGAATAAATGTTACTCATTTGAATACTCTGTGTGTGCTCTACTTAAGGCAGGATGTAAATAACTTTTTAAAGGAGTAGCAACACATTTTCTGCCACCTTATTTCTAAAGTTGTGTTAGGGTGTTGGCAGAAAACCCCACAGTGTAGATCTTTTAAAACAGAATGTTGTATTTTAATCCAGTATTAACAGCACTGTTGTACTCATCACACCACAGGTTACTGTGCAGTGGTTAATTTAACAATCTTGTACCAAAATAAAACTGGATAATACTTTATTTAACTCCGCAATTTAGAAAAAACTACTTTGCCCTTGAAAACAAGGCCTTCTTCTTGGCAGTGGCTGTGAAAATCACACAACAGGAAACCAAAATGAGACTTTGCAAGAGAGAAACAAGCCCACACTGCTGCTGCATGAAAAGAGCACCGTGTTCCATGATGGCAAGAAATGAGGTTTCAGCCAGGGTGTCTTTAGCGGTTATATCAGATCCAACCTCTTTCAGAGATACCAATCACTTATATCAGTCTCAAAACTGAACTAAAAAAAAAGAAGCAAAATAAGATACACATAGGTCTAAAATTAGAAACAGGTGTCACTATTAAAACACACAGCCACTGTGACTTTAAGACTTTCACATTCACATTCATGCTTTGATTACTAAAAATCTTTTTCATCTTCAAAGCACAGGGAGAATGTTTTTTTTAAGTATCTTCTGTGTAACAGAACAAAATTTAAATGAGCTAGAGCGAGGAAATTCCTCTTTCTCTAAAAGAAAATGTAGTCAACTAACCTCATCAGGGACCATAACCAAAGGGTACTTGTCTTCAGAGAGAAAATTAAAAAGGCACCAAAGGCGAAAAGCATCTTTCTCTGGCAGAACGGTGTTGCTGGTTTTATCCGTTTGGTAGTTTTTCTTTGCTGTAAGAGTCCAACAGAGCTCGTCTACGTTTTCCTTAATAAAAGAGCCGTCAACCACCTGCAGCAACAAAATGCAGGGACTGAAGACAATCTCATAGCGATGAAGCATTCAGTTTGACAAAGCAAAAAAAAAAGACACAAAAGTGGTGTGTTTTTTATCACCTTATCCAGGATGTACTTGTTAAGGTAAGGCATATAACCTTGACTGGAAACTGGACCATCATCATCGTCCCTGAAGTGCTCCTCCAAAGCGACCGGGTCATGTGGAATACTCAGGACTGTACACAGATTGTGAGACAGCACCTGATGCCAAAATGAAATACCAACGTATGAGAGAGAAATATTCAACAACATGCAACACGCAAGAGATCTAGAAGATATCCCATTAATTAACACAGCTTTACCGACATGAATGCAGATTTGACACTTTTGCCAAAAACTTCACAACAAACTATTTCTATTAGACAGATGAGTTTGTTTGCAGGCTGAAAATTTTGTGTGTGTTACTAATTTCTTCAAAAATGTATCCCAAAAACAACAGACAGCAGACAAACAAAACAGATATTAGGGGAACAGAGCTTTCTAATAGATTTTCTTTCCACATATGTTGGTGTGAAAAGGACAAAGAAATGTGTGAAGATTTCATAACAGCACAGACAGAAAAATATATAGGCTGAAGATTAAAAGATTAAACAAAAATTGCTATAATATTAGACAACGATAAAAAGCTATAAAATAGATGTAAGGTAATACAATTATTTGTAAAAAGAAAGTAAAAGATTAATCAAATATTTCTATGCTACCAATCAGAAGATTTTATTTAAAGTGAACTGCTACAGTGAACTTATTTGATTGCTACTACAATAGTATTAATGATGTGGTGCAGATTTATTTTACTCTATAAAGGCATCCTTTTACTTTTTCTGCTACAAATGTCTCTTAACTGTGAGTGTGAAATTTATATCTGATGCATGCTATCAGACAAGGAGTCTTGGTGTGTTGAGCCATAACCACATCCTGTCTCTTGTGCTCTACAACATCTGTTAGTTTTGAGGCCACTGCTGCACGCTAACTGCTTGCTTCTGAGTGGGTCTAAAGAACATGGTGCTTGTGAACAGGCTGCTTGCATGAAGGGGATTAGCCTAGTCATGAGGCTGGCTTGCTGTAAGCTAGGAGGTGCAGGCATCACAACGCCCAGATCGTGGATGTGGCTGAAAATGGAGTCTGATCCACACCAAGACCAAGTGACATAATAATGAGATCAACATAATACAGTGGCTTCATTGACGCTCTGTGCCAGAGACAGCAATCACCAACATGTTTCCACTTTGTTCTTGTTCTTGCTGCAACAATGTTCTTTTGACAAACACAGGCCCATGGTGTGAAGATACCCTATTCAAAAGACTATTCTCTGGCCAGGTCCAGTGTCAGAGGACCCTTTGCACTACAAGCTGGTACATGGAGAGCCAGTGCAAGCACAGCTTGGAGATGAGGGCTCCCATTCTTTCACAGACTGAGAGCAAACTGTTACTCTCGTGTTCTTGCAGACAGAGGTGCATATTGTGCCCTCTTTCAGCAGTGAAAGCATTTTACTCAAAATATAAGGAACAAATGTGTTCCTTGTTGACCAGCATGTGGTATATAAACACAGTTTCACACAGGAAATATTAAGGATGAGATTAAATTTCAAATGGTATACCAAAAGAAAAGAACAGAATCAAATACAACAGGTCAAATAGTAAATACATTTGTGGCATTTAGTTTGCTGGTACTTCAAATATTTTAACCAAATCGTCCTAAGAGTGAGCCCACGTGATGAAATATGAATTGAGGTAGGAAATGAGGCAGCAGATTGAAGAAGTAAATGAATACAGACGACAAAAAAGTCCTTCCAAAACCCAGGTAAAACACCCTACACTCACCTTTAACTGAGACTTGGACACCTTACCACTCTTTTCCAGATCTAGGGCTGTAAAACCGTACCAGATGGATTTGAGCAGTTCAGACCGCAGGTCCATTTCTGCAGTAGAATGGCTTTCTAGTTTCCTCCTCTACTTCTCGCCTTCTTCCCTCTGCTTGTGTCACAGGGCCCCTGGGTGACAGTTAGACACCCACGTTGTGTTGCTGCTGTCAGGCAGGCATAAGGCTTTACCAGGGCACTGTCAGCGACACCTGCAGGACGTCCTCAGTCACTGACAGAGAGGGAGGGTCTGATGTTTCTCAGTGTTCTGGACCTGCCTTCAATGGGAGAAAGTAGAATCAAGAAGTTATAATTAAGATTTGTTTACGGAATAATATGAGAAATACTCCATTTACCTTTTCGGAACATGTAGCCTACTTTTAAAAACCGAAAACAAAAGTTTGAAACAGTTATAACACTACTATAAACTTTGTTTACATCATCAAATTATTATAATTGATTCATTAAATAATGTCGGTAATCTGACAACTGGAAGTTTTGAAAGGCAAAATTGATGATCTGAAAAGGTTAAATCTAAAGAATGAAGAGTAAGTTACATTAAAAAAAAAAAACATCAACAGCGTGATGTGGGTGAGTTAACTTTCCAACCTGGACCCTGATAGTAGACCTTCAGAATATATTAGTACTGCCAAACCATTTACTATGAAAACATAAATGGTTTAGTCTAGAGGCACTAATAAATATAAAAGTTCAAGAAGTTGTTTATCTTTTATCTAATGGTTGTTATTTTAAGTGTTTTTTGGGAAGTAGGCTGCTCGGCTTTGGATGCTAATTTAATGTTATTTATCGGAAATTAAACATCCCATTGTTGGGGTCTTTACCCTTGAAGGTTACCTGTTAAGACATTTCTTCTAACCTGTTGAATCGACAGCCACATTTCACATGCCAGGGATCAAAAACACATTTAATAATTCAAACATTTTTAATAGCTAGATGCAGACAGGAATCAGATTTTGTTTCTGATGGACTACAATTTTCAATGTTATCCTTAATGACTTTGTTAATGAATATTGTCATTATTATTATTATTATTATTATTGTTATTATTATTATTATTATTATTATTATTAATAATCCAGTATCTCTGTAATCTCTCGTGTTATGAATCTAGAAAGGAAACAAATATCCCTGTTTCAAAGTTGTTGTGTTTTGCTGTGTATATATGTTTCTTTGTTGCCAAAAAAAAAAATTAATTTAAGTCAGTTCTATTTGGTTCTTTTATATTATTCTTGTATTATATTTTATTCTGTCGCTGATGGGCCGCGGTAAAAGGAGATCACGTGGTAAAACAACTTTGGCGTCGTTACCATGGTGCTGTTTATGGAAATCCGTTGCTCATTGGCTTACGAGCCAGACATAACAAAATACGCAAAGCCATTGGCTTGTACGGCTTCCTACTGCGACCAATGGGGAAACGCGCTTTTTACAAACTGCTGCGAGTCCAGGAAGTTGACAGTCCACTGTGGTATGAAAGGACCATCGAGGGATCTTTAAACCTGTTCAAAACGCCTGGAAAACGCAAACATTTGGAATTATTTGTGTCAGGACTTCTTAACTGAATTAAAAGAAGGAAGAAACAGAGGCCTTATCTAATTTGAAAGTATGTAAGGTATTGAACAGACGACTCTATGTGCGTATTTAACTTTAGTATTTGTTAACGTGAAGAGAGTGGCCTTGCTCGACTTCTCTTTTTTGTTCGCTAGTCAACACCTCCCTCTGTACTGTGCTCAGAATTGGATACTATCGTGAATATGCTGTAGTCTTCGGGCATGATAAACATATAAATAAACAATGCTTGATGTCTTTATTCTTGCTGATCCACAGTTGCGCTCAAAGTTAGTCATTTACGTCGTTTTGGTGTTTTGTATGTCTGTTACATTTTGAGAAGTTCATTTTTGACCTCTGACTGTCTGCAAGTTGCAGCTTGCTTCATGTGTTTTTGGTTTTCTTCAAAGCCTGAATAGTGCATTTCAAGCATGTTTACAAACTTGGTCTTCTTCTCTTTGTGTTGCTCCTCCAGCTGTTCTCCAGTCCTTGCTGTCACAATGGATTCCTCTCCAGTCCTTCGTCCGCAAAGTCAGAACAAAACCCGGAGTGACTTTCTCAGGTAAGACGGATAAAGACACATTTCACTGTATTTTTAGTACTTGATTGCATTTTTTTCTGCTAGGATATCAGATTAGTGACCTATTTAACTACTGTTACACAGATTGTTCCTGAATATTCTTCAGAATGTTTTAACAATAATTAAGACCTAGTTCGTCTATGTTCTGCTTGTGTTTAGACAACATTTAGATTGGGAACTTAATTTGACTTTTGTGAACTAAAAGAAGCAATTTTAGAAGTCCCAAAAGAAGGACATTTCTATTGCAATTGATAACGAAACTCAGGGACTGCCTTTTTTTTTTTTTTTAAATCATCAATGCATTCATTCATTCTTGTTGCATTTATCATTGCAAATGCAACTTTCTGGTTTTCTGCACACAGGCCGAAGAAAGAACACAACAAAATGCAAGTTCACCCAAGGCCTTCCAAACTTCAATCTGCGCGTCATCTTTCCGACGAAAATATTGAGAACAAAGATCCGGGAAACTCACCAATGGGCAAGAAAGCACCTGTGCGTCCAGGTGTTAGTCGGCTCCCAGTACTCGCAAAGTCCCTTCGTCTTCAGACTCCTGTCGACTTCGGTCAATCTCACAGTAGATGGGAGGAGAAACCTCTTGCTGTGAGTGCCCCCCCCCCCCTCCTGTAGATTTTAACATTTTCAATCTCATTTAACGATTGTTATTTCATTAATATTATATTATTTTTTTCTACAGGGAAAAGCTAAAAATAAAAGGCCATGCACCAGGCCCATTCCTTTCAACCTGACGCAGTCAAAGGGCTCGAGAGTGGCCTCTGAAAATCAGCATCCTCTGACACTTGCACAACCAAGGACAGGCTGTCATGCTGTCCAACCTGATAACAATGCATGCAAAGGTTTTCTAAAATCCCAAAACATAAATGCAAAACCTGCTAAACATCCATCCACATTAAACAGAAAGTTGGATTCAAAAAAAGGAACGGGGAATTCTCATTTTAAGGCGACAGAAAATACTCCCCAGCTGTCTGGGCATTCTGTCCCTTCCATCACATTTAAGACTTCAAACACTTTGTCCCAGCCTCTAGCAGCAGTTTCTAATAATGCTTTGCATCAGAACCACAGCACTACTTTGTCTGCAAAGTCTACTTATAGTGCAGAGACCTGTTTGGATAACATGAACCTGCTAAGCCTTAAGGATCCAACCATTTCATCCAATTCTAGCCAGAACATGCAGCTGACTTCACAGGGCAACTATTCTAAAAGTTTAACCGGTAAGAAAAGAGTTTTGTTGTTGCTGTTACTTCTTTTCTTTTCTCTTTTTAGTAGTTAACAATTTTATGTTTTTATACTAGAGTCCTACTTTTCCATGTGTTTAGATACGTTTGTATCATTTTATTTTAAATGGTGGTAAAGAACTTTTGATTGAACGTTGTTGTTACTTTGAAGGGCACAGTATAAATGAATTGAAGTGAATTGAATTTATTTATTTAATAGGGACGATGCAATTTAACATAGTTTCAATACAGAGCATGAAACTGATGTCCTGCACAGAGAGTTTAGAGCTACTTCCAACTGTTGGGCCTTTGGGTAAACAAATACAGTAGAGTAGATACTGTTTGTACATGCATTAGACACACTCTAACTGTATCTGAAAGTGATTCAACAGATGCAGTTCTTTGATGTGAAGCTCACCTGTTGATATACAATTCTATCCAGTTAGAGAGCTATGATCATTAGAGTTATTAGGTTTGCACGTTGTCCTTCTTCTGTTGTGACTTTGTCAACTACGTTGTTATGTTTTTTCATTTGCAGCCAATTGTGTTTCTTGTGTTTTTCAGAAAAAGGGGAGAACTTCCAGTCTGACCACGCTGCTTTACTAAGTATCCTCCGAAATGAGGGAGTAAGCGCACCATGTTTGGGATCTGCAACTCCACAGTCTAAAGCCTATAACTATGTGGTGAGTTGGTCTTTATAATTGTTGTTTACAGACATCTTTAACAGTGTCTTTTGGGCCCTACATTATTTTTTTTATAGGATGCTTTTGAGATGTTTAAATAAGACGTTTATTTATGTCTGACTTGTGATTTCATTGTTTGAAATTAAACATTTTTAAAACTCTTTAAATATGTTTAATAATCATTTGTGTGTGTGGTTCTGATTGTCTTGTTTGCAGCCCCAGCGAGTGTCTATCATGACTCGACAAAAAGTTGGACCAACTACTGGTAAGAACAGGACTGGAAACATAATATGTGCTTGATCATTCAGTACTTTAACACAGTAGATACGAGAAAGTGGATGTTAAACCTTTTGACTTTAAATTGTGACTTTGACAATACACCGTCTTCACTTCAGTTTAATATTCCAGGCTCATGTTACATTTGTGTATTTATGGGCTGCTGACTTATTATTCCACCTGTAGTTCCACATTTTGGAAAATGTTCTTGCTTAGTATCCAGCACTCTGAAAACATACATGACTCGGCTAATAAATAGTCCTGCACATGACCCCTGAATAACCCTGCAAAAGGACATTTACACACTGTTTTGTACAGATTAGATAAACAACATATTATGTCTTAATTAGTGAGCTATTAGTATTATTATGTAAGTTCTGTTGCCTTTGGATGAACCAAGGACATGCATTTCCCGATTTCTATTCTTAATGCTAAGCTTAGCAAGTGAACAGAAGGCTCCCACTTCAGATTAATATGATTTACAATGTCATTCTAGTGTTCAGAAAACTTTGGTATTCATGATTACTTTGGGTATGGGTATGGAATGGAAACCCAGCCGAAATGAGGGATAGCCACACTGAAGAAAAGGCTGAGCCTACCAGCTCAAAGCTGGGACGGGCGACACCACAAACCTTTTCCACCATTTGAGTGGTACTCCCCAGCAGCAAACTGTCATGTCAGCATTTTCCCGCACCGTGCATTGTTCTTAAGGTGGGGAAATGTTCCTCTGTTTAAGTGTAGTTAAACCCCGTCTGGTGTCTTCACCTTTCACTGACTGTTATTAACATTTTTATTGTGCTAAAATGTTTTGGCATATCGCCAAGCCCTACTATGAACTGCCCTTTGCATGTCAGCTGAGCCTGTTCACTTTTGTTCTTCTCACAGGATCAGTGAAGTCGGCGCAGTTCTCCCCGGACCCCGCTGCACTGCAGAGTATCCTGCTGAACGAGGGAGTGAAGGCTGAAGGGCCTTTCGGTGCCACACCTCAACACCCAGTCCGTCCATCAGGCAGAGGCACTTCAGTCTACACTGTATGGATAAATGACTTCTGTCTCACCTCAGCTTTGTGTTATTTTTTACATTTCTGGGTTAATTACTATGTGTCTTCTGTTGTTTCCTTTCTCAGGCTCAGAGAGTCCCGCTTAGAAAGAATCATGCAGAAGGTGGACCAGTAGGTAAGATCAAGAGTGTTATGTTGATGTAGGAAATCTAATGCAATTTGTATCTCCGTTTTCCTGTTACATTAACCTGACGTGCTGTAGCTGTTTTATTCTCATCAGTTGCACTAAATGAAACTCCACTTAAAAAATGGACGCCACAGAGAGTCCGGGACATCAGGCATCAGCCCATGTCTGCTATGGTCAGTATTCAAGTGTTGCATTGTCACTTTTTGTCTGTTTTTTATGTGATGTATCTCAAAGTTGCACTCCTATCTCATGCTGTTTTCAGAGATGGCATATGTCAACTCAACAGTCACCATACGGCAGCACTCCTGGGTTGCGGAGCTGCAAGACCAACCTTCAGCCACGCCAAGAGGTGAGATCAAGGAAGGATGTCGATTTATTAAATGTCAAGAGAGCAATTACACAAATCTGTTCAAAGTCTGGTAAAAAAAAAAAAAAAAAGACTGACAAACGGTACATGTTTTCCACCCCGACTCTGATTCTGATTGAATGTACAGAGTTGAGGCCAGAGTAAATAACTGGAAGCTACATGACTTTATCATCTCTTTATTTTTGCTTGTTTATCCCTATGGTGTGATAGTTGGATAAAAAAACTATGCAGTTTGTCTTACTGATGGTCCAAACAAGTCAGGGTTTTGACTGACTTGCTGACGTTTATCCAGTCTGTTGGTCTATTATTTGATGTCATTGTTCTATTTTAAATATGTATCAATAAAATGTAAAACAAGAAAATACCTTATAGCATTTTGGAAAGTGAAATAAAGATTTCATTCTTTTTTTTTTCAGAAAGATAAGTTTGGAAACAGCTCTGTGAAAATAGCCCTTTGACTTAAAACCTCCCCATGTGAGGGCTCGAACACGACTTTGAGGCTAAAGAATAAATAAAATAAATTAATATCTTATCAAAGTCGCATTTGATTGCCAATTTTAGATAATGGCGGTTGTGATGCTACACCTTTGATGCACTTAAAGATAACATTTATTATAGGATCATCAGGATCACTCCAAACCAAACAGAGTAGGCCAGAATTTCTATGCAAAGCATTACATCCCAAATTTCATAGCATACTGTATTTGATTTAATCTTCTTTGTTCACAGGAAATTGTCCAGAGATTATTTGATGATCAAGAGGACCAGCAGAGTGTGACGGTGAAGGATCCTGAGACACAAGCAAAGCAGCTCCCAGGTCAAGATACAACTGTAGACCATGAACTGAAGAATAAACCCCTCTGTGAAGGAAAGGTAGAGACAGGAAGGGAGGTGAGCAGCGTCGAGGATGGTGATGATGATGAGGAGGAGAAGGAGAAAGGGCAAAGGAAAATTGGAGAGCAGCCATTCTTCCAAGCACCACATAGAGAGTCGGTCATTTTTTTCTCAACGGGAAGAAAGCTGCTAAGAGCCCCCCGTTTTGAGAAGGAAGATAAGTCGGCCCATCAGGAGCAGCACGGCCCGGTTTCATCAGCGCAGAAAAAGATGCTGCCAGTGAGTGACGAGAGGCCGTGCATTCCAGAACCAACCAATCATATCGTCCTTGCTGTTCAGAGCCTGCAAAGAGGTATCACTTTAATTTCACAGTCCCTGGTTTGATTAATCTTACACTGTAACACACAAAAATTAACATTTCCCTGAACTGTAACAGTAAAACCTTCATCTATTACAGAAGTGATTGTTCAGAAAACCTGTCCTAAGAGTCCTGCAGTGGCAATGCTGCGAAAGCGTCTGCCTCAGCTGGAGGAGCTGCGTTTGGATGAGGAGGTGTCCACCTTCACATCGATGGCTATGCAGACTGCTCTGGGCTTTTTGCCTCCTCGGCCCCGCTGTGGAAACCCACTGGCCTCCACCCTGCACTTTGAAGAGTTATCTGTGAGTACATATTTAATAATGCCAAGTGAAGACTTTTTTTTATAATTAAATCTAAACGTCACCACAGTTTCAGTTTTTCAAATATTCATTCATTCATTTTTTTGTAAATAAAATGTGAGAAAGAACAGATGACCAGTATAAGTAACCAAAGCAAGCAAACTACAAACCATCAGTTGATTATTTCACATCTCTTCCATCTCATTTTCAGCAGCAATGAATAAACTTACATCCCACGATATTGATGTTATCACATTTACATTAACACTGATATCATAAAAAAGCACATAGCACTTTACATCAGGTACCTACATGTTTTTGGATGAATTTATAGATAGTCAATTTGATTTAAATATTCATCTTTTTTTTTCTTCTCCTTTTTTTCAGACTTTTGTTCCTATCAGCTGCAGTCTCATGTCCGGCCCTTCTTCTCCACAATGCTCTCCACTGCAGGAGAGATGATTGCACTCCAACTGCACCATATGTTCTACCCTTACTGCCAATTTCCCTCATACTCCATGCTCGCCTTGGTCCATCAGCGCCGCACTTTATGCCGTCTTATGCCTGTTTCCACAGCGAGCGCCGCGGTCCGTCTCCGGAGCGGGCCAGCAGCGCCACTACTTTGCTTCATTTCAAAACTGTGCAAGTCTATTTTAAACGGAGCACGCAACAGCTGGACACAAGGCATCCGGTCAAATTCAAAATAAAACACTATATACAGACTCAAGATCGTAATTTTCATCACCAAGTGAACAACAAATCACAAAAAGGAAGCAACACGATGTTTGCACGTTGTACTCTTCATTCTTGTGTGATCTTGTAGTTCTCATTGGGGCGCACGGGTGATGTGGAAATGAGCAGATAATAATCTGAGAAGCTTTCTCAGTTGTACAGAGGAGACTTTCTATACACTGATGTTTGTCCTACACTGGCCTTAATGAAAGCCCAAAGAACGCTGCTTGTACTTGTAACAAAACACTGTCTGATGAATGAAGAGGCTTTTTTTTTTTTTAGTGGGGCAAAATTAATTTTTTATACTGTAGGCAGTCATGTTTGCCTATAATGTAGATCCACGCCTATTAGAAACAATGTTAATGACTTGAATCTGTACTACATTTAAACAAATAATGTAAATAATGGTCATTGAAGACTTAATCACAGCTATAGTATCCATAGAGAGGATTAGGAGGAGATAGGGTTTTTATTGTTGTACAGTGTTTATAATAAATGTCTCTAGGAAACTGTCCGGCAATGTTATATTTTTCTTTTAGCAATTGAAATCATTTGAATGGTCGACTCACTCTTTTTTTTCTTCTTTTTTTTAAAATGAAAAGCACTAAATGTCCTGTGAAACACTGTGAAATTGATTTGTTCTAAGGTCTTAAAAGCATTTCAAAAATAAAAACAGCCAGTTTACAAAGTATCAGCATAGAGTCTCAAAGATATAGAACTGACCAGAATAACAAAGTTAAACAATTTTATCAAAATTATTTCACATTTGTTTTCTGTATCCAGTGACAAAAATGGAAGATATGAAGTCAGATGAGCTGCTTGGTCAGCTTTTTTTTTTTATTAAGGCCATGAAATGTCACAGAAACTGAAGATAGAACTTTAACAAACATGTTATGTGATACACATTTAAACAAAGCCAAAATGATTCAGGTCATAACATGAAAGAAAAACTCAATCTAAGCTGCAACATGCACATTTTGTATTTTTTACTTTGGTCCTTGTTGATGAACTCCCAAAGGTTGCAGCTGCATCTCAACTCATGTACAGGTGATGAAATAAACCAAAGAAGTTGAATTTTTCCATATAAATGCTCATTATTATCCTGTCACATGAGTGTGTCCTCTGTGTTTCTCTGTAACTGTCCCCTGCAGGTGGTCAGTGGGCCTGATGTATATTTAGTAGAGTTGTGTGTGTGTGTGTGAGTGAGTGGTGAAGGGTGTCAGTGGGAGGGGGCTTGGGGCAGGATAAGGGACAGTTAGTCTATAAAGCCTGTAGACTACCCTCACCAGTGCCTCCTCTAAGGAGTAGAGAGTGAAGGAGAAGCAGCTGCACTCTGTTCGTTCTCTTTTTTTTTGTGCCCACCGGTGTGCCTGAGCAGCTTCCTTTGGAAACATGTCAAAGGATATCCACCCGACCATGGACCCCACTAAGATGGGGCTCGGACGCTCCATTGCTGTGCTGACGTCAGGAGGAGATGCACAAGGTAAGCAGAAGATAAGGCTGTAATATTTCACCAAAAACAAATTGAACTGTTAAAATTGCAAAGGTTACAGGACAGCATCTTTCCTGATGGTGTTTCTGATTGCACAACACTGAATCCCCACCAGCTGTAGAAGAGTCGGCTGGCATCTATCGTACGCACGCCAAATAAGTATCATGTTAAATTCTCTGACTGCATGACGTGCTGAGTGAGTTCACGAGCCAAAGAACAGAAAGGGCAAGAAGCATTTTTTCCATTGATCTGAGTGAAGGCCAGCTGTCAAAGAGACATTTGCAATAAATGGAGATTATATCATCATGAGTACACAACACCAACAGTGTTTGAGCTTCATCCAGCATACACTCAAATGTCTGTACAATGACAAAGCATATAATGATTTACTCATAATGTATTTAAGCAATACTTACATCATCAAAAGATGCACATATAAACATGGTTAAAACAATTCCATACACACAACACATACTTATGCCTGTAACCACTACCTAATTTTGAGTTAAGCTGGGTGATGTCTCTGTTTTTTCCTCGTGCCATCTTCCTGTATCATCTTCCCCTCCAACCTGACCCTTACTCTTTATGCAGGGGCTTTATCTGCCTGTAAGTGTTCACCTATTTCTCATCTTCGGGGCTAATTTTAGTGGCTCTGACCTTTTTCTGGTATGGACAGAGAGAAACGCCCCCCCCCCGATCCTCAGCTGCTGTCTGCTGAAACAAGAGCCGCCACATGCCACCTTGCTCTCTCACAACACAAGCTCACACTGTGGCCTTTAGTGTACTGCACATCCATGGTGCACAAGACATACAGCCCCCTTAACTTGACCCCTGTCCTTTCCCTATGGTTATTTTTGTTTCATCTGTTGCCAATGAGAGGTCACTTAAAGGTTAAGAAAGGTCTGTAAAGTCTCCATGTCCTGATAAGAAATGTTGATTACATTGATCCCCTGTGTTGTAGTGTGAGTTAATAAGTGCTCACAGACCGTGTTTTCTGTGTGTCTCAGGTATGAACGCTGCGGTGAGAGCCACAGTCAGAGTGGGTCTCTACACCGGAGCAAAAGTCTACTTTGTTCATGAGGTACAGAATGAGTCTGCAGTCTAACACCTTGCCATGATTTTGCAAATAAATACAATATATTGATGCACAAAGCGTAAGAGGATTTTGTTATGAAAGAAAAGTGAGTGTTTTTTTTGTTTTTTTTCGCTGTCGCATGTGCTGGTTTTCAATCCATTTGAAGGCAGACCTGTATCTTGTTATAACCACAGTGTATGTTCATTTGTGCTGCAGGGCTACCAAGGTCTGGTGGATGGAGGAGACAACATCCGCCTCGCCACATGGGAGAGTGTGTCCATGATGCTGCAGCTGGTGAGTGACGTGCAGCCGATTGAACACAGAAGAAAAACAGACTCACACAGCGATACCTACACACAGGAGCAATATGATGTTTTTGTAGTATAGAAACTAAGATATCTACAAGTCTTGTGGTTCTGGTAATATGGTATTAAAGTGTTGGTTCATCTAACAAGACATTCACTGGTGTCTAGCCTTTCTGATACTTTTGGTTAAGTTTAGTTTTCTTCATTTTGTTGTGCTGTTTTTATTGCTTAAAAATAACCACACCACCATGTCCTTAAACATACTTTGCAGTTACGAAAAAGAATACACAACAAAGCAAAAGTACACAAGTAGATGAATCAATGCATTCATCTTCATCTGTTGTTCTTTTGTCCCTTACATCACCACTTAACAGAACTGGAACAACATTGACAGTTTCACCCTTAAAACAGCGCTTGATTCTCCCTCAACAGGGAAATGAAACATTTGAAATGAGAGATACATTTATACTTCCACCTCAAAGGCAGGCTGCAACCTCACATGATTTTACAGTATTATGCAACTTGCTTCTCATCTTGATGTTTTTAGGGGGGTACGTGATAGGCAGTGCACGCTGTAAGGATTTCCGCTGCAGAGAGGGCCGTATGACTGCAGCTCGTAACCTGGTTAAGCTGGGCATCACCAACCTGTGTGTGATTGGAGGAGATGGCAGTCTGACTGGAGCCAATGAGTTCAGGACTGAGTGGAGTGGACTGCTGGCGGACCTTGTCAAAGCTGGTAAAGAGACAGAAATAGAGGTTTTGGGAAATATTAGAAGTTAAATATTTATATTACTTCAGGCTTTACACTCAGATGTGCCTTTAAGAACGTCATGGAGGTTATTATGGATATCTTTAATTCACAGGTACCATTAAAAAGTTCTCAACTCCTGCATGTTGGGTTGGTTATTGCTAAGGCTTCAAATATCTAAACACCTTTTGATACATTCAGATTACATATTAAACAAATATGTCTGCTCCCTAGAGGAGTGCTTCTTGGTCATTTTGGTGATCTATTGGATTTTCCAACAGCTTCACACTTTTTGCCTTAAGGGAAATATCTTGATCAAAATATTGAATGTTTGGCCATAGAATTGTGCACGCATCTCTCTCAGGAAAGCAAATTATCCTCTCAAGTGTCATATAATGCTTTATATAGGTAATATCCATAAACTTTGCTTTAAGTTGTGTGCATGCTAGCTTGCAGTTAGCATTGAGCATGTTGAGCCTCAGAGTTGCTGGCTGTACATTTCTTGTTTATGCTTTCATCCTTTACAGTGAACCTACATCGGGTGTAATTGCACTTTTTAATATTAGGTATTGTATATTTCTCTTTTCACCTGTACTACTATCAGTGACTGTTTTCTTTTCTGCAGGTAAGATCACAAATGAAGAGGCCAAGAAATCTTCCCACCTGAACATCGTGGGCATGGTGGGCTCCATCGATAATGACTTCTGTGGAACAGACATGACCATCGGCACTGACTCTGCCCTGCATCGCATCATCGAGGTGGTCGACGCAATCACCACGACTGCACAGAGGTAAAGCACAATTGCCACCCAACGTCTACCCACACAGTGATTAATTTCAACATGTAGAAAATATATTTCATAGCAGCAGGAAAAAACAGTAAAATGAGCAAATGGGTTTTGTTTGTTTAATTGACACTATAGACACTATAAAGATATAATCTCTGTCACTCCACAGCCACCAGAGGACGTTCATCCTGGAAGTGATGGGAAGACACTGCGGGTCAGTTCCTTGTGTACTTGGTCCATGTGTGTGTGTTGTCTATTGACAGGTACACATCTGTGTGTGTATAAACACACAACTTCACCGGTCAGGATCTTCTGTAGCATGATCATTGACTGCAGATATTTAGATTTTTGAAAATGAAAGAGGTTTTCAGTTCCCTTTTATTTGTGTTATCTTATAGCTTTCATTCATACTGGCATCAAAAGAAAATGAAACCACGACAGTTAAATGCTCTTTCTAGGCATCTTTTTAGCTAACATGGCAGACATGGTACTCACCATGTCCACAGTTTGTATCTGGATGGGAAACTCAGTGGCATCTCTTTTCCCCAATTCCCAACAACTTAAAGGGAAAAATACTTTTGAAAAATGCCACTCTTATGTTGTGCTTAATCCCCCCCCTCCTATCTGCTCTCTTTCATCCCAGTGTATATACAGTAGAACATTAAGTCCTCTTTGGCTAGTACTTTGGCTTTATCCTGTGTGTGTGCCCGTCTGCAGGTATCTGGCCCTGGTGACGGCGTTGGCCTGTGGTGCAGACTGGGTGTTCATTCCAGAGATGCCACCAGATGAGGGTTGGGAGGACCACTTGTGCAGGAGGTTGACAAATGTATGTGTGTCTGTATTAGCAGTTGAAGATGCCTGCCAAGCTGCTCCATCATTTTTTTATTCAAATTGCATCAATTACATTACTTTGATTGTTATTTGTTAACAGCAAAGAGCCAGAGGTTCTCGTCTGAATGTGATCATTGTGGCTGAGGGTGCAATGGCCAGAGACGGCAAACCAATCACATCCGAACAGATCAAAAAGGCAAGCACTTCTTTCTGATGTCAGTGTGATGCATTTTTATTCCGAGTAGCACAGAGAACACATCATGCTAACAGGTGGTTTTGTTCGTCACCAGCTGGTGACTGAAAGGCTCGGCTTTGATACTCGTACCACTGTTCTTGGACACGTTCAAAGAGGAGGAACACCCTCTGCCTTCGACAGAATCCTGGTAAATTTCTCTAAAAACTACAAGTATAAAGTAAAGTGTATACCACTGCCTCTCCAGTCCCTACACACTACCGGAGATCTGACTCTGTGTGTTTGTGTTTGTGTGATCCAGGGCAGCAGGATGGGTGTGGAGGCAGTGATGGCGCTGCTGGAGGCCACTCCAGAAACTCCTGCCTGTGTGGTCAGCTTGTCTGGGAACCAAGCAGTCAGACTGCCACTCATGGAGTGTGTGCAAGTGGTACGTCACAGTATTTTCATACCAAATAAGAAACCACCTCATTTCTTTGTTGAGTGATAGGCTACTTGTTTTGAGGGTATTTCTTTCTCTCCTACATTCTTTCTTTCTCTCTTGGCATCAGACCAAAGATGTGACCGCTGCAATGGCTGAGGGCAGATTTGAGGATGCCATCAAGCTCAGAGGAAAGTAAGTCTTTGATATTCTTAAAATCCAACAAATGTTATAATGATTTCATTGCATTTAGCCAAGAAAATATTCAGCTTAAGGTAAAAACACAAAACAGCAAGCTCAGTAAACATGAGAGGAAAATAAGGGAAATAAACTCAATTTATATACAGGCAGAAATTAATATCTTCCCCAAATTAAATACTGAAAAAAAAAAAACAGAATGAATGATTTTAATTTTCACTGATGAAGTAGCACTGAACTTTATTTTTAAATTGAAGGAGTTTTGAGAACAACTGGAATACATACAAGCTGCTGGCTCACATCAACCCCCCAGATGTTAAGGTGAGGAGTGTCCATAATCTCTGAACTGTCTTTATGGACATTACATTCATGATTTAAACATATACACCAGTATTTTTGTTCCAATCCTCAACCCTTTGTCCACCTTATTGCTTCCTTTTACTGATAGAGCAACATCAATGTGGCTATAATGAACATTGGCGCTCCCTGTGCTGGTATGAATGCTGCCGTTCGCTCAGCTGTCAGGATGGGTATCATCCAGGGTCACACCATGTTGGCTGTCCATGACGGCTTCGACGGTCTGGCTCATGGACAGGTGAGTTTCCCCACTCTGTACCAGAATTTCAATTGTTACTATAAATGTGGTATAAATCTGTTAAGAATGATGTGAAACCTGATGTTTTTCATGGTATGATAGACAAACAAATAGGAAACAAACAGGACAAAACTTAAATCTAGACTACTTCAATGATGTTATTGCAAGAAATGGTAGCAGGGATGTGTATCAAAAGTTAATTCATTTCTTTAAAAATGTTTAATTGATTTTTTTTGTCCAAATGCCTAAAGATGCCCAAGCTTCAGTGTTTACAAGACATAACTTACGAAACATGTAGTGCCATAAGGAAACACAAATAAAACAGAGCACGTTTACCACTTAGTTTGTCAGATAAAAACTTCCCAAACTTAACATAAAAGGCTGCCATCTGTTGATTGCACTGCTCTTCTTGACCCATTTTCAGTCAGTATTTTGTCCTCATTGCAGATTGAGCCGATTGTCTGGACTGCAGTGAGCGGCTGGACCGGAAAAGGAGGTTCAATGTTGGGCACCAAGAGGTAAAACAAGTAAAAAATTTAAAAAAAAACGCATACAGTAAAACGTCGCTCCTTAGACTGCAAAACCTCACACTGTGCAATTTGTCTATGTCCCAAAAGAACTCTTCCAGGGAAAATGTTGGAGGAAATCAGCCAGAACATTGCAAAGTTCAACATCCACGCTCTGGTGATCATCGGTGGATTTGAGGTAAGACGTGTCAGCCATTCCTCACTTTTACAAATATAAAAGTCATGTTAATAATGGCTGATGCCACCTTTACAAAAAAAATGTCCTGAAATAGTTTAATTTAACCTCCTCCTTGTGCTGCAGGCTTATGTGGGAGGCCTGGAGATGGTTCAGGCCAGAGAGAAGTACGAGGAGATGTGCATTCCGATGGTGGTCATCCCCGCCACCGTCTCCAACAACGTCCCTGGCTCTGACTTCAGCATCGGCGCTGACACCGCCCTCAACACCATCACCTCTGTCAGTGCCTCAACAGCATACACACACTCATATATACAATAAGAATTAAGCTAAATATATTGCTCCTGTGTTTTTCTGCAGACTTGTGACAGAATAAAGCAGTCTGCAGCAGGGACCAAGCGCCGCGTTTTCATTGTTGAGACTATGGGTGGATACTGCGGCTACTTGGCCACCATGGCTGGTATGGCTGCTGGTGCTGATGCCGCCTACATCTTTGAGGAGAAATTCAGCATTAGAGATCTGGAGGTGAGCTGATGACTGCGCCTGTTTGTCAGGTGTTCAGGTTTTTAGAATCTCTGAAGCTTTAAGGCAGTGATGTGTTCTGATCGGGATGTGTGTATTTGGACCTGTAGGCGAATGTAGAACATCTCCTGGAGAAGATGAAGACAACAGTGAAGAGAGGTTTGATTCTCAGGTGGGTTTTGATCAGGTGTGACCCACACTTGTAGATGAGATGAAGTGTTTTGTTCCAATACCTGAAGTCTAAGTGCTTACTTCTGAGGCAACAAACTTGATTAAACGTTGTTTGCTGTGAAAAGGGCCACTTACTCTAAAGGCATATGAGCTAAGTAAACCTAAACATCCTTCTAGTAAAATAGTTTGCCCCTTGTTTGTTCTACATCAGGAATGAGAACAGTAACGCCAACTACACCACTGACTTTGTCTTCAACCTGTACTCAGAGGAAGGAAAAGGCATCTTTGACTGCCGCAAGAACGTTCTGGGACACATGCAGCAGGTCAGTTCATGCAGTGATGTGTCCAATCCACTCTAAGAAAACTGGAACAGATTTAGTCCTTTCTTCTTCTATTTTTACAATTCTAACAATAACACGCGTGTCTGTCTTTGATTGACTACAGGGCGGCACTCCAACACCCTTTGACAGAAACTTTGGCACAAAGATGGGGGCCAAGTCTGTGCTGTGGCTTTCTGAGAAACTCAAGGAGTGCTACAGGCATGGTACGTGAGCATTGGATCAAATGATTCTGTTGCATATTCTGAGAATTGGTTTTACAAAAAGATAGCAGTGAAATGTGATTTCAGTTCATTTATTTGAAGTACTGTACCGAGATATAATTTTGAAAGACTTTTACCACTTTGTACTTATTCCTGAACAACATGTCTCTTTGGGGCTTCATCACTGATTAGTTTGCAGATGCCTACTTAGACAAAACTTTGGATCAACTTCTATAAAAGCATACAATGTTGTAACAAATCACCAGTATGTGAAATAGTTAACATTTTGTACCACTAAAAATATTATAACATTAAAATGGTACTCTCATATTAAACAATCATTAATTAGGGTCCAGTTATATTATCAGAATCATATAAAATGTTAATTTTTTCTGAAAATTGACGACTGTTACTTTAGATAGAAGCTTAAACGTCTCTGTTTGTAAGTCCCATCGAGAGTTGGATGTCATTTCCAGTGACCTGTGTACATCTAGAAATGAATAAAGCATAACAATAAACAAAAATAGGTAAAACAGAGGGCTTTATTTATATAGTAGAAATCCAACAGAGAGACCATTTTAGTGCTTTGCATAAGGAATGAGAATGCAAAGAAAAGGATCAAAAGGAGCAGAACACGTTTAGTAAACTGGATTTGTTTAACTTCTTGTCCCCTTTAGGTCGTATCTTCGCTAACACACCAGACTCTGCCTGCGTGCTGGGCATGAAGAAAAGGGCTCTCACTTTCCAGCCTCTTGCTGACCTGAAGGGAGACACAGATTTTGAGTAAGAAAAATGTTTCGCCAATTTGACTTACTGTACTACAAGTAACATGTTTTATGGAGACTATATGGAATGACCCCTCCTCCGTCTGTTTCAGGCATCGCATCCCTAAGACACAGTGGTGGCTGAAGATCAGGCCCATCATGAAGATCCTGGCCAAGTACAACATCAAACTGGACACATCGGAACACACCGACATGGAGCATGTGATCAAGAAGAGGAGTCCACTCGGAAAATAGGCCACACTGAAAACTGCCAAACTTAGCATTTACAAGTCAGAGTGGGGAATTTTTCTGTTCCATTATAAAGTCTTCAATACATGTTCACATGCTCTGGTAAAGGAGCGACTGATTCCCCAATCCTAATCTTGAATGTGTTTTTGTTTCTTAGAATTCATTGTTCTGTTGCTCTGACAACTAGCAAATGTTTTAGTGAAGCAAAAAATGGAAGACATCAAGTAACAACTGAAAAATATACATTTAAAAAAACAAAACATCACTGTCTGTCCTTTGTATTAAGAAAGTAGAATATGACTTGTCTGAAGAACCATTTCAACTGAGAATCTTACTTTATTTACCCACAATTTAGTAAAACAATGCGGATGAGCTACTCATAAGCAAAGGTCGGGGCGCTGTGTAACCTGAATCTGAACATTCTGTGTTGACTGCAACATTTCCATCAGTAGATCTTTTTAGTGGACGTACTCCTGTTAATTTTAACACTTCAAAATACGTAGATTTAATAATACTGGTGATAATAAATTCCCTTACATATTCTCAATATTAAGTTCAGTGTTCTAAACATTTACATGTGATTTATTGCAGCTATGCTTTTAGATTAAGTAGAAGTTTTAGGTTAATATAGCTCACCCTTACTTTATGTTCAAAGCCTCTAAAATGCATATGAAACATGTCTATGAAGATTCCCCTACAAAATATCTAAGCACGCTAACTGTGGCATGCATAATCCAGTCACTTTTTCTTTCCTTATCAGTATTTCAAAGGGAGCCCAACAACTGGAGCCATTTCTATCTACAACATTGATAGTCCAATAAAAAGTGGTTTGACAACATAATGCTGTGTGGGTTATGTTTGATCAAGCTTTCTGTGGTCATTCAATTCTTCTGTCCTTCCTGATTTGAGCTATTCAAGAGGGGCAAACAAGGTGATAACATCAGTTTTCTTTTGATCTCAAACAAAAGACTACTCATTAAACCTGCTTGCTGTTCCTGAATATGGGCAACGAGGAAGCAGCGTTATTATTCAATCTGAAGAAATGTGCTACTCTGTAAAACAGAGTACTGGTAATTGCAGAAGAAAACAGATGTGCAAAAAAATTAAATTCTTCTTCTATTGTTACAACTGGACACACAATAGACATTATACTGTGACATACTAATAGCATAAATAGCTAAAGATTGAAGAGGTTACGACGTTTGGAGATGTAGGCTTACATTATATTTAAATTATTTTGTTTCTTAAAAAATGTGTTTCTTTCAAACTATGGTTTCAAACCAGGATAGGAGACAAACTTTGCCATTTTAGATTCCTTCCCAACCCGTAGTTGAGTCTTCTTCTAGAAACAAATCATCAACAATAAATAAATTTTTGTTAACATTTTTATTACATCACAATACAAACAGGAGTGAAAACCATAGGTGAAAACCCACAATCCAATCCATGGACATAAACCCCCCAACCCCCCCCCCCCCACACACACACACACACACACAGAGAGAGGAGATACACATATAACAAATAGTTCATGTAAACCCTGTGCCAAGGAAACAAACAGCATACATATCATTATACATCATCAATTTGTTAGTGCTACATCTTTAAAGGCTGTTTTTAGATCGGTCAACCCTTTCGGCTTTGAAATAAAAAAAAGTAAGGTCGCTGGAATTTAACTTTTAATATCTTGAACAAAACAATAAAATATGCAGCTAAAATAAGTATTTAAATTATAGGTCTACTCCAGAATTTGGTATTAATATATAGGAACAATGACTTTTTTAACAGATGGTAAAAAAAAAAAAAAAAAGTGCGGTGCATCCGGAAAAGGAAAAGGAAATGGTTTGTTGCAGAGGTCACCGAGAACTCGCGGTGGCAGCCGGGACGTCGGCGGACTGTGTGCGTGCGCTGAGGAAGGCTGCGTGTCCCCAGTGTCCGCTCCGGTCGCCCGTGTAGGAAGTGTGTGTGTGTCGTGATTGTTGGAGAGACAACCGCGGGCACCCTGAGGTCTAAGTAGAGTCATGGTTTTGCAAAGCTCACACCGGCAGTAACGCAACGCGCAGGTTTGATTCATTGAGCTAGCTGGCGTTAGCCCCGCTAGGCTGATTCACAGCACGCTAGGTCGTTAGCCGCAGTCGGTAGCTCACCAGCTAGCCGGCTAGCTAGCCAGCTAGTAGATTCAGTGTGCTGTCGAGCAGGAGACGACTAGTCACACCGCCGAGCCTTACCTTTTACTTCGGGAAGAGGAGGTAGTGGTGGTGGTGGGGGGGAAGGGGCGCGCTGGGAGAACGCGAAGCGGGTGGAAGTGAGTCAGGAGCGGCTGATGAGTTCAGACCGGAGCGGAGAGCCGCTGCCGCCGCTGCTGCTGCTGCAGGAGGAGGAGGAAGAGGAGGAAGAGGAGGAGGAGGCTGATCCCGGACCGGAGACCGGAGGGAAGGACGAGGCTCCGCCGGGGAGCGAGAGAGGGTCAGGCGGCATGGTGAGTGAGGCCTTCTTATTAGCTTATTCAGCTAGCTGCAAGACTGGGAAACCCTGTGAGCACAGTTCGCACCCCCCCCCAACACCACCACCACTACCCCACCCCCCTCCTCGCCCCTCTCTCTCTCTCCCTCTCTGTGTGTGTGGAGTGAACGATAGTGATCGAGCTGCTAAAATTAATCCACATAAGACGCCTAATAAGGTAAAAATGTTCAGCTCGTTATCGACTTAGTGATCATTTGCATAATCACTGTCCGGTTGTGTTACACAGTAAAGAGGACAGCACACATACGGCAGCGTTTTGCACAGCTACTAACTTGATCACCAGCAGCCACAGGAGGATCATTTAGGAGTTTTTTTTTTGTTAGCTTAGCCTCTTGGAGCAGCCAAGCTCATTAAGTAGTTTGCTGAGTAATCATCAGCAGCCTGCAACTTAAAACTGTAACACCAACGTAGAATGACCGCTTCTTCTTTTTTTTTTTAAGCGGAGACGTATTGCTGAAGTTGTCCTCGACTTGTGTGGTGATGGATGTTTTAGATCGGCGGTCAAAGGATAAAGGTGCCAATCACAAATGTTATCTGGTAGCTAATCGCGGCTTGCTTAGCTGACTTAGCTAGCGCAGTGGCATGCGTTGCAAATACCTTGGCCTGTGCTGCGCAGCAGGGTCAGCTGACATTACTTGGCCCTGTAACACAGAAGCGTGCATTGTAACCAACGTGTCAAGTTGCACGGGGTCATAATTGTTCGTTGTCGTTTTGAGTGACACCTGAGGCCTGACCTTTTTTTTTTTTTTCTACCTGGAGAAGAAGAGAAGTGTCTGGAGACGTGTTGTGTATCCGGCAGCTGGACTTGTCAGGCCGAGTGCTTCTGCAGGGAGGAGGTGGATTTGTTAGCAAGTGGCAATGTCAAAAGTGGGAAAACCTGGCAAACTTAACAGCTAGTGGCATTTTTTTTTTTTTTAAAGATGTGTGCACCTGTCTCTTACTCATATTTGGGTAAAGCACACTTAGTTCACATCAGTATCCGAACGCCTTAATATGCACAGTATGTGATCTATTCTTGGCCCAGAGATCTTTGCAAGGGTCAGGGGTTTCTTCTGCCACTCCCCAGCCCAGGACATCAATTCCTTGAATCATGTTCATTCAAAAGTTGTATAATTGTATTAGTTTGTTGTTTGACCCTGTGTTGTCAACATTTATAACAAAATAGACATGCTGGTTTCCAACACTTCAGTAGTTATTCTCCTCCCTGTGATTGACAGGGTTATAGACTGTTAGTTGACAGGGGATCACGGGGCCCTATGATGCCCATTTCCCCGTATCTCTGGTGTTACATTGAACACCGTGGACGCACAATGGTGTGCAGGTGTTTCTGCCATCCTAAGATTGCCCAAGCTGATTTCAATTAGTGTTTTAAGTAATTAATGCGTTTGTGACAGTTGATGGGCTTTCATGCGAAGTGTGAAGATGTAGTATCTCAACAACTTTAATTTCAGTTTCTGTCAAACACTTGAGGGATAAATGTGCACCTTTTTTAAACCTATACAATACAGATTTGTTAAGTTTTGTTTTTTTACACAAATTGGTTGTATATTTTCATGAAGTCGAGGTGTTTTGTTTGTCTGAAGGAGCATGATTGTGGCATCCGGCCACTAGTATTTTATAGTTTAGTCGGAGCCCGTTGTTTTATGCTCTATGTTTCCCGTCGTTTTCCAGGCTGACGTTTATTTCAAGGGCAGTGGTTCTTACCATTGAGAGCTAGAGAAAGTTGTACTGCATCAAAGTTGCTCAGATCTTGCTGCTCAGTGCTCAGTATTGGATTTCAATCTTACCTCAGTTTGTTTGTGTTGTAAACAAATGAGTTTGAAACATGCTGTGTGCTGTCTTGTAGTCCAAGACTAATCTAATGCTGGTGTAAGGTCACTCACTAGAATATTAAATGCATGATATTTTGTGGAGTGACAATTTAAATTGCAGATAAAACACATAAAATCTGTGTGAATACAAATATTAGTGTATAAACTATTCAAATGCAGAAGTGTCAATTAGACTGTTTGTGTTATTTAGCCTTGACTTGCTCTTGCTGTAACTTTGCTAATAACGCTGTTTCTGCTTTTAAGGTCACCTCTAAGGGCGCCGGTTTGAACCCAAATGCCAAGGTGTGGCAGGAGATGCCTGTGGCCTCCAGTGAGGCTGTTACCAACAGTCCTCATTGGCCCCCTTCGGACATCAGTGAAGGTGCAATACACTGCCATTGGCCCGATTTATTAACTCCTGGGGAACTCATAATAGAATTGATCACAACTGAATGAGTTTTAAAGTGGAAAAAAAAAGTTCATTTTAATGTATAGAAATACTTTTTTGAGAAGGGGGGGACACTTGTACTTTCTAAACAGACAAGCTAAAGGAGCCCTTTGTTGTTTCTAAATGAAACACTACCGTGTTCACAGGTTATTCTGAGCCTTTGTCTGCTGGGTGCAAGCAGTACACTGTGGGATTCACGGCCCTGGATGACAGCAGCTCCACAGCAACAGCTGAGATAGCAGTTAATGGAATGGACCCTCCAGAGTTGGGATTTTCCCCCGCCGAGGCCACCACGGGGACGTCAGGTCAGTCACGTCTCCAAACATCAACTGCAACTAAGAATTATTCTTCCTTATAATCAAAGTAAAAGAGTCTGTAAGGGATTAAAAAAAAAACGTTGAGAAAAAAGTTCTATGGTCTGATATCATAGTCTCCACAGCTTTAATAAGAAACATTTCTGTGAGTGATGTTACTCAAATATTCTACACATAGCAGCATGTTTTCCTCTACCAGTCAGAAGGTGGGTATCCCCATCAGGTGATTTAATCATTGGGTGGAGCCTTATAAGGAAATTAGAACCTGCAGACTACTGTCTCTTTATGTCCACTGGTTATACTTATTTCTACTATACTGTGGAGCCCCACAACACACATGTTTTCACAGGCTGAGAATAAAATGATACACAATCTATTTTACCCAACAATTTAAATGACAACAGAGTGTTTAAAAACTTATGGGATTTTAGAACTGAACTATGACCACAAGGCAAGAGGATCAAAGGCATTAAAGCGTGCGTCTTGCATGTAAAAAAAGATAAAATAAATGTAGGCGATATTAAATGAAGTGCTTTGTGGATGTGTTAAATACACTTCCGTCTATGTCATATTTACTAAAACGCAGCAGCAGGGAAGACGTTGAATTAGTTGAGTGAGTGGATCTGTTGAAGTGTGACTAACAATTCTGATCAGGGAACAGCCCTATCAACAGTAGATCTAAAACTGAACATTATAGGCCTATTTTTTTTCTACGGTGAGCATATTGCCTCACTTCCTGTTTCTTGCTGCTACTGTGTTGTTCAGTGCTGTCTCTAGTTAACGATAGAGCTCTAGCCAAATTGTTCATTTTCATGAATTGCTTCCCAGTTTAGACCAGTTTATGTTGTTTCTTAAACTGGTCATTTACCTGCTATTTTGTAACATAATATAACAAGGAGTAAGGTCTTTTACCTGCTTTTCGTAAAGTGCCTTGATATAACATTTGTTATGAATTGATGCTATACAAATAAAGATTGACTGGTTGTTTAAAGTTGTCTTCACAGTAGAACAGTTGCGTTAAATCATGTCTAACTGGTCGTTTTGTTTTTCACCAGATTCCAAAGCTGATGAACAACCGGTCTCCTCGGAGAATCTACGAGAGTCTCTGAAGAAAGAGCTGGAGTTTTATTTCTCTAGGTGAGAGCAAAGCACTCAGCCCACCTTTGCATACTTTATGGTTTAGAAAGTATCCCTAGTTAGCAGGCGGCTAACTTGCAACAATCTGTCTTGTTCTAATTCAGAGAGAACCTTTCTAAGGATTTGTACCTGATGTCCCAGATGGACAGTGACCAGTTTGTCCCTATTTGGACTATAGCAAGCATGGAGGGCATCAAGGCCCTCACCACTGACATGGACCTCATCCTTGACGTGCTGAGATGTAAGTTGGAAGTTTAAGAAGTTTTATTTTAAATCAGTCGACGTGAGTCTGTGGTGTGACATAATTACCATGAATTTTCCTCAGCCTCTCCGATGGTACAAGTGGATGAGAAAGGAGAGAAGGTGCGTCCCAATCACAAGCGGTGCATTATCATCCTGAGGGAGGTCCCTGAAACAACCCCTGTGGAGGTAAAACTAACTTCTTTATATGCTCAAAAAAACAAAGTCTTGGGAAGCCCCAACTTGTGATTGGTAGTCAAGTGTGAGACTATTGTTTGTATCTGTTTCACAGGAAGTGGAGGCTCTTTTCAAAAATGACAACTGTCCAAAGGTGATGAGTGTTGAGTTTGCGCATAACAACAACTGGTACATCACATTCCAATCAGACACAGATGCTCAACAGGTAATTCATGTCAAGTTGTGCTCTTCTCCACACTGTCTGAATTATTCAGCTGATATGCAGCCTCATGAATTGCTTCATGATCCTCTCTTATCATCTTCCAGGCCTACAAGTACTTGAGAGAGGAAGTAAAAACATTTCAGGGAAAACCCATTATGGTAAGGTGGCTAACACTCCTGAGTCATTTTGGAAATGCCCCTTGTTGTGAAGCTGATTTGAGTCATTTAACGTTGATTTATTTTTGTCACACTGTCAGGCAAGGATAAAGGCCATCAACACATTCTTTGCAAAGAATGGCTATCGTAGCATGGACAGCAGCCTGTACGCTCAGCAGTCCCAAAGCCAGTCCCAGTACAGCTCTCCTCTCTACATGCAGCACGTCTACCCCCAGCAGCAGTACCCAGTCTACGGCATCGTACCTCCCACCTGGACGCCTTCG